GATGGTTACATTTTACCCCCTAAACCATTTGTATTATATTTTTGTTTTCCTAATAAAGACAGAGTCACCTGAATTAATTTTGTCTTCAGACCTTTTTATTTTCTACATTTTGTAACAATCTTTAAACATTTGTGGAGAACAAACACTGTGGTTAAAATGAGTGTCTTTATGACGTCTCTCACACCGTTGGTATTTTTCACAAAATTCATTTTTAAACACATCATCTTGATACAGAGATAACACATTTTCGTAAGACAACCCCGACGCTCTATTACATAGGTAGAAAACACAATGCTTTTCTTTGAGGAGTTCTTAGTTTTAAATGATCTGGTGAGGAGGGTGTGACTTGTTATGTTGATTGGGAGGCGGAGTCCTCTGCAAAAGTGAGAGTCTTTTTCACCAGTATAATGTCCATCGATGTCTGACTCTGTTTAAAAAGTTCTTTAAGCGTTGTAGCTTTTCCATCAATCATTTTCAGCCAAGCAGTCAGAGGCACCCGCAAGGATGTCTGAAAAACCCCGCATGTAGAGTTGAAATACTCCAAGACAAAATCATCATAGGGGTCCTTCCCCAGCGTCACCAAACGGCTTGCGCGGTAATACCATCGCCCCAATGGTCCGCTTTTAGTTTCCCAGACGGTGCTTGTCAGGACTCTTCTCACTTCTGGCGGCGGGGGAATATCTCCTTCTTCTTCCTCCACCTTGAGGGGCAGCGGTGAAAACTCTTCTTTGATCTCGCATGCTGTCTGCGTTTCTATGCAAATATCTTGTACACCGCTGGTTCCACTATGGTTTCTTGATGCACTACTTCTTCCGATACAGTGGTTGCGTGGAGATCTCTGGAAGACACCAGAGTTAACACAGCCCAATCTGTTGAGGTCAGTGTCGCTTTAACACTACGGGGTCCATACGTTTCTCCATTCTTCAGATTGTAGAAATGCAGTTCATTCGCCATATAGTTGAATACATAACCCCAAACATCACCATTTTCCAGAGTCCATTCTTCATGAAGTTCTTCGGCTGGAGGCGTCTGAACCCGGCACAGATACTGCATCCGTTTCTTGATTGGCGCTCCGGACGGATGGCGGTAAGTTGTCACAGACGTCTCGCTGATTAAACCCATATCGAGGCGTCTCTTGGCCATTTTTCTTTTTTGAAAGGTGACTTGGTGAGTGGAAATGACTGGCTTGTTATTTAGTTTGAGCGTATTTCTATTTTCATCTAATTCCACCCCCCACTATCTGCTGGCCTCATATCGTGTGACAGGAAGGGGTGGAGAAAGGGGGAGAGGCCTGGGCTGTGAGGGGGCGGGGGCTATACAGTCTCACGCATAACTTCAAAGAGACACCTAGATTAACATCAGAGGCTTATAACACACCGGTGTGAAATCACACCGGCCTGTTATAACACCTCAACCCTCACATCAAAGGGCAAACATCAAAGGCTAATTAGATTAGACAACAAAGGGCTCTGAGGGGACAGGGGCCAGACAGTCTCACGCATAACTTCAAAGAGACTGCCTTAATCAACACCTAGATTAACATCAGAGGCTTATATCCAGGGCTGCACATAACTGGTGCGCAGGTGTTTTCGGCCTTGATGTAACAACATTCATAATTAAGTAAATGTAACACCCTTTTCACCCCGGTTACACGTTTCATTTGCCCTGTACGATGGGCGCTGTAAGTGATGAAAATGGGGGATGTTGGCTTATCTGGCGCCCGCAGCTCACAGCCAAAATGCGAGTGAGCGAGGGAGAGAGGGAGGGTGCACCGGTACCGGCGCTGTTGTTATTAGAATCTGGTGCTAGCTGCTTTAACGGATATAAGAAGAAGATGTTTCTAAAATAATGTGGAGGGAGAGTCCTCTCCAGTCAGACTGAGGCTGATAACTACAGCTCAGTGAGGTAAAGGACTCTGAGTGTTTAGATAGTTAACTTGTAAACACATATTTCCAAGGCACTCCTTTATAATTATTGGGATAAACAGGTTTGAAATCATTCCAATGTATACTATAGGACAGTAACCAAAAAATATCCTTTAAAACTGAAATATGAATGAACAACATAAATAAAATAAGTTACATTCATTTGTTATTGGCTATGGTAGGTTATTGGTTATGTATGTTCACATACTTATTTGATTACATCCACTTTTCTAAGATGACAACAGACTTTCGACCCAAAACCAGCTGTTGACTTGTGGATGCAAGCAGCTAATCGCAGACTCAACCAGAGAGAAAGTAGTAGGCCTACATCATCAGCTACCATGTCTGAGAGGAAGACAGTGAGGAGAACAGTCAGGAGGGTAGTGATGACAGCTTGTAGGATTACTGGTCGTGCTAATGTTGTCTTGTGTTCACCTCTGCATGTGTGTTCTGTGTTCACCTCTGCATGTGTGTTCTGTGTTCACCTCTGCATGTGTGTTCTGTGTTCACCTCTGCATGTGTGTTCTGTGTTCACCTCTGCATGTGTGTTCTGTGTTCACCTCTGCATGTGCGTTTAGTGCCGTGTGTCTGGCAAATAAAGTCAAGACCCCTCAAAAGTTACGGTTTATTTCATTTTAAGGATGAGCACCAAGCAACATCTCCAGGTGCTCCTTTGAGAACCAGGGCATAAAAATGATGTGCACCCCTGCTTATATCACACCTACCTGTTATAACACCTAAACCCCTCACATCAAAGGATTAGACTACAAAGGGGTGTGAGGGGACAGGGGCCAGACAGCATAACTTCAAAGAGACTGCCTTAATCAACACATCAAAGGATTAGACAACAAAGGCATTACACAGGGGGGCTTTTCACACCTACCTGTTATAACACCTCACCCCTCACATCAAAGGATCTCGAACAATGGGAGGCGGGACTCCACTCATTTGCATAATTGGGGGCGTGTCACCTGTCATTTTGCATGCATACTAATGTGATTGAAAGGGAATCCTTAATACTACTTGCATGTTCCAAAAATGTGGCACCATTGGAAAGGTAAGAAAGCAGGCTTTCCAAAGGTATAAGATGTCTTGCCAAAAAGCATTGTTACAACAAAGAAATCATTTACCAAACACACATTTCCTTACTTTTGTATTAAGTTTATTCATTTATTTGTATTAAACCAAGACAATTGACTAATTCCTTAAGTATTTTCACTGTTACGTTCCCCCAAAACTCTAGGGAATAGGGGAAGTATCCAAAAGAAACCAAAAATGACCGGTGTAAAAAAGAAAGGGAAAACTGAACTGTTCAGCCATAAGATGTTGTGTATTACTACAACTGAAAAAGGCTAACCAGCAGATTGAGAAACAAACAATGGGAGACGTTCTTGAAAGCAGCACATGAAAATAACAACTAGCTGCAGTAGGGGTTTTTCAGCCCTTCCAAAACTCTATTAACACGTGTCACGCAGAGACACAGCAGCACTGCACACCCGCTGAGTCCTGGCAGTCAGAGGGAAGAGCGCTGCGGCAGCTTTCCTCAGCTCTATATGAAGGCCCTGATTAGAGATTGGATACACCTGGGAGAGAGACTGCACCTGGAGGGGGACAATCAGTGGAAGAGGGAGAGGGGGAGAAACACACACACACTACGGCACGTGACAAATTCAAGGAAATCCTATTCATTCACTCTACTGTGAACCATGATAGAGTGGTGCAGGAATGAGTCCTAAAACACAGACCACTGCTTGGTCCCACGTCTCAAAGGCTACTGTTTGTTGAATGTGTTTTTGGCTAGGTCTGAAATAATGTCTATTGCTTAAGACAGGGGTTCCCAACCTTTTTTCCCAAGGGCCCCCCCAAATGACTCCTGTTGGAAGTTGCGCCCCCCCCCCCCCTCACACACTTACGCAGGGGCGCATCAGCGGTAATTAAAGTTTAAAAGTCTCAAAAATGCTACAACTACTGTCACAAACTGGATGAATGTGAAGTATTTTTGTTAAAGGCGGATGAAAGCGTAATTAAGGAGCACTATTGGAGTGACTTTGATGGTTATTGGACTCAGGATTAATTCATTTGGATTCCCGCTGAATGAAGAAATGAAAGGACGGCGCAAGTGGAAACAATTCACAAAGGGATTAAACTGTTTAAAACACATGCTCAAAGTAAACCGGATTTTGCCGTTGTGTTTATGTGGATTCAAAAGTCGTAAATAGTCTACAAAATGGAGGAGACCGATCTGATCGGAGCAACTGACAAATAATCCAACTGAAACCGGCATGGACAATGACTATGTTTTAAAAATGCGCTTATCCAGACAAGCCTGGTTTGGAAACTTTACGGGCAGAAGAAACATTTCTATAGAAAGAATTATACATTTCTGTCTTTTTATGCCTTTAATAGCTACTAACTTGAATTTTTATTCAAATGAATGAATCAATTATTTTTTACATTTTATTGTAATGTAGAGACAAGGCCTTTAGTGACAATCATGTATTGCGTTACAATTATATGTATACATTTTTTATGTATTTTTTTTAAATAAAATTTAAAAAAAGTCGATCTTAGCCTGCGATCTTTAGCGCCCCCCCAAGGGGGGCTCGCCCCCCAGGTTGGGAACCACTAGCTTAAGACAAGCTTAAAATACGTTCATGTTTTGCTCTACGACATGAACAGAAATGAATAAGTGAAATTACTAAACGTCATCACGCTGTGCGTTAGCTGCTCTCAGTTTAGCGGTTGTGATGTGAAGTCATGACTAACATTAGCTTTTTACTGGCACTTGCATTTATGCTTCAAAAATCTTTAAAAATGTGTGAATATATGGAGATTATTCCGCTGAACATGCCTGCCACAGATTTTTCTTTCTGTAATATTCCAAAACCCAATTGAAAAATCTATGTTTTTTGTCGTGGGGCAACTTGCGATGATAACTTACAGGTTTGTCTACAAAAAAAATGTCAGTGCATTAACCTACTCTATGTTGTATGTTCAAAGTGTAACAATATAAAATAAAGAATATACTAAATATGGATACCTACCTTTAAGAAAAAATAACAAACTCAGATGATGTTATTGTTAGGAAAGGATTTATATATTTTTTTTAAAAGATATTTGCTTTAATTACATACACATCATTTATACAAAATCATCTATTAAAATTGAGAAGGCCAAAAATGGCTTCAAACCACAAGCTTGATTCCATAGTCAGAAACAAGAGGCACTTTGAGTGTAAACACATTATTAATTAAGCAGAGAGTAGTCCTGCAAATTTCACATATGAGCAGAAAGCTACTAAAGACTCAAAATGGATATGGTATGGTGGACAAGATCAAACAACAACGTAAGAGGATATTGAGGATTTTGTTTGTACTGAAGTATACTGTGAGTATGCTCTGATATTAAAGTAGCCGCTATCATTATGGATCGTCTCTCTAGATCAAACTCCTAATCAAAGTATTCCATGAGCTTATTGAATAGCAAAATGCAAGAGGAGAGAATTAGGGTTTCTAAGATAAAATGTGGCCATTGAAGTGCTGCTCCGAGAACACAAGGTTAATCAGGGAATCACAGCTTGGCCTTGCCTGGTGTAACCTGCAGGCTCTGCAGCTTCATAGCCATGCTCATGTTTCCAGTGATCTTAATTTTCCCTTTGAAGAAAGCCTGTGGACAGGGGTTGAAAGGGGAAAGATTAAAAAGAGTTTACCTGACCTTAAACTTTTACATTCAAAAATGTTTATTTTCTTAGAATAAGTGAGGTACTTAAAGAGGACATATGATGCTAATTTTCAGGTTCATATTTGTATATTGTGCCTCTACTGTGACATGTTTCCATGCTTTGATATTCAAAAAAGGGTCTTTATTTTCCTCGTACTGCAGCACCTCTTTTCACTCACTTTTTAAAGAAAGGGGTCTTAAAGAGACAGGTGCCAAAATAGAGTGATTACAGCTATATTCAGAAACACAGTGTGAGAAATATAATGTGTGTTTGGATTGTTAGAGATTGTAAACATGTGCAAGTAGAAACCCAAAATACAAGTATGTAACTGAAACGGAGCATAAAATGTCCCCTTTAAAAATTCCTATGACAAACTAAATGGAGATGATGTTCATACAGAGACCATTTCAATGGATTCATCTTGTAAACACAGGTGGTTATGTGGCATTTACACAGCTCTCAGTAAGTAACTAATTCATGTCTAAAGGCATGTGTTTGGCTTCCCAAAACAAAACAGCACCAGAATTTACACTTTTTCTGGTGAATTGACGTTTGCGTGTTTAGACTCGTATTCCCAGTGCGTTCCAACCATAGACTGTATATATAAAGGTTCCAACATATCATGTTTGGTTTTAATAGACTCTGGTGCTTTTTCTCTGTTTAGTTCTTCCCCTCTTTGGTGTATAAGCTGTATAACTATTGGTGCTTGATTAACGGCTGGAACGAGCTCCATCTCCAACTAGTCTGTGAGGTTGTTTATAGCGTTTGCATTTTTAAGATAATATTTGTTAACAATATGCGCATCACTATGTGAGTGCAGATAAATATGGTTTATCATGATCACATACCGTTTGTGGGTTCATCTTTCCTGTCATCAGATCCAGAAGATCCTCGTCACTCATGATTAAGGTGCAGTCTGCTGTCTTATCTAAAAGAAAAGCAAATTAATGTTTTATTTTTTAATGGCTTACTACTTGTCATAAAGCATAAAAACTACTTTAATTAATTGAAATAACAACACTAAATAATAATACATTTACTATAAACAAAAACAGCCAGAAAATACATGTTTAACTGTTAAGAAATATAAAGCAATATATAGCTCCAACACTACTTAAATGTATATAGTGTATGATGTATTTTTTTAAACCACAGAAACAAATGCATAATTTCTGTTCTGAGTTCACACAAGGAGAAAGGATTGTACGCCATAGGCTGAAAAGAAAAAAGAACAACCTTTGCAACATTGCACATGAAGAGAAATGTGATTCACCATTGTAACACTGCTCCAAATAGATAGCACTCAAGAGTACACTATGTCTCGATGAAACTTGTTGTTGTTGTGCAGCACACAAGTTCAATGCCATTTCATTATTACAACTGGCCCTGTTTTCTTCTTCCAGGACAAAATGTATGATTGCTAACATCAGCCTGTTGAAACATAAAACCACCTTTTTCCATCATCATCAACATAGGATGTACTTCTGCCTACGGTATGATGATCATCCATCAATATGCTTGATGTTAGGGAAATAATTGTCCTAGACTCCTAGATATGACGTACAGGACCAACCCTGACGTCTGTTTATCTTCTTTAAGGACATAGGCTGCTTCAGCCATAATGGTAAATGGTAAATGGACTGTACTTATATAGCGCTTTATCCAGTCTTTAAGACCCCTCAAAGCGCTTTACATACTACATGTCTTTCACCCATTCACACCCATTCATACAGAGCAGTGTATGTTACTCTAGGACCTAACATGCATACACATTCACACACCGTTGGCCATGCCATCGGGAGCAACTCAGGGTTAAGTATCTTGCCCAAGGATACATCGACATGTTGACTGCATGGGCTGGGATCGAACCCACAACCTTCTGGTTTGAAAGACGACCGCACTCCCTCGCAGCCACAGTCGCCCAATAATGTTATTGTTCTCATTCTGTGACCGGTCAACACTAGGTCACAGATGGTCTGTTGTTGTGGGTGCACTGGGACACTTCCTTCTTTGTTGTTTGTGGACTCCAAGGTATGACATATTCGAGGCCATAAGTGACGGACGCAAGTAACTCAGTGTGCCCAACTGTCTAAAGCTATCTTATCAAAATATGTTGATTACTCTCTGTGAAACCAGTTAAATGGGCTAACAAGAGAGAGGCACTCCAGAATTGACGTGGCAACCACCCGTGCAGTCTCACCGGGACTGCTGTGATTTGTGATGTGAATTCTCCGGCCGTAACTCCAAATAAATCATCAGTGTTTGACATCAAAGCTCCTGCTCCACCGTGTCTCCTTCCTGAGTCGGTGACTACCACTGCGTTGCTACACAGAAGTTTCCTCTACACTTGATACATCAAAATAGTTGTTGTGTGTTTAGGAAATTAGAGTCCTAATTAAAAAAAAATCTCTTGGACACAAAGTTCACATTACAGGATTTAAAAGTAACAATTTACTTATCTTCTGTCAAGGAATGATCACTCACCTGTTTCCAATGTTACTTAGCCAATAAAAAAGGAAAAACACTTCTAATTCCTACGGAAGACAATTAGGGCCACATGTGAATCTTTTTTATATGACCTGACCAAAAGTGATTTATTCTTTTTTAAATGTTTGAGATCAAAGTCAGTATTCTGAGAAAAAAGGCTGTTTTGAATGACTGACTTTAATCTCAGATAAAACAAAAAAGAAAAACTTTTGGTCAGATATCAAAAGAATTTCAGATGTGGCTCTAATCCTCTTCCGTACATTTATCTATGCAGCACATTACCTGAGCCCGCCTTATTTTTAGGCCAATGCAGTGGCTGTTAAAATGGTTTGTCTTAACAAAAGATAATGTACTTGCTATTCTTTGTATCTTCATGGTTTATTGCACTTATTGTATCGCTTTGGATAAACGCGTCAGCTAAATGAAGTGTAATTGAATGGGATGTAAGGACTGCAAAGGTATGGTAGTGTACTCTTAGGCTTTTCAGAGTTTTTTCTGACAGCTGCATGCTGTGACTTAACATGAGGGCTGAGAGACTGAACATAAGCCTACATTTTAAGTTAGCAGCTAAGTATACAAATCAACAATGACCTGAAACTCATTATAAGGCTCTGTTGAGTCGTGAGAGGCTGCAAATTGAGTTGATAATTCTCTGTAGGTTCCTCACTACAAGCGTCCCCGTTCACATTGTCACAATGTTCGAGTAGCAACACACACACTAATACAACCTCTCCTCTATCACGTTAACAAAATGGCAAGGACAGACACTTTCCATTGTAAAAGAAAACCGGGATGCACCCCACTGTTGTGTTTTTTGATTTATGTAGAATTGATGCCAATTAACGTGTCCAGAAAGCTTTTAACTAGTGCTGTCAATAAATAAACAAAAACAAATAAAATAAATACCTGTGTGGTGTTTAAATAAGGACATGCATGACAAACTGGTAAGAGAAATCAGAACACCATTTCTGAATTATTAGCAAAAGATCTGACAATGTTCTGACAATTAGCTAAAGCATCGACAAAGCCGCTGTCACAGAGAGCCGCTGTGGTCCCCTCTGTGTAATGTGCGATACACAGGGCGTATTCTCTGTCACTATCATATTGTGATCACCAACAAAAGAGTGCACTTGCCATCTGCCTCTCCTTTTTTTGCCATTTCACTCCCATGCAATTCATGGTAAACATCCGCGCTGGTATTGCCTGAGCAACTTTTTGGTCAAACTTTCCAGATGAATCACAAGCATTAACGCGTCCAAGTGTGTGTGGCAGTGTTCTTCATTTTTTGTAAATGGGGAGCCACAGCCGCCATAGTCTAGCTTCAACATTGCTAACCAACCAATATAAATGTGGTACTAGTATACCGTACGGCGTAGAGGCTCAACAAAACTGGGATTCATTTTCCACAGAGCTTGTCTTGTTCCTTTCCATTTCCTGAAAAATGAGTAAGATGGAAAGGGTTAGCTGACCTTTAAAAAACAACAACCTGAGAGTAACTCGGGGGCGGGGGGGGAGGGGGGGGGGGCAGCCTAATGGAAACAGTCAAGGGTTTTTTGATGATGAGTGTGTAGCGGCCACAAGCATCCTATGAAAAAGCAGAATACCTTTAGCATTTCGATGATATGTGTGAATTGAATTGTGCTTTTATAGATTGTGTGTGATGTAGATTGTTATGTAGTTTGATGTTTAACATCCATTGCAGCAGCTTCAAATCCAAAGAAGACATACAAAAAAAATTGTTGTGATTAAGGTTTTAAAATTTCAAACCATTTCTATTGCTCTACTGCAGAGTTTTACAGGAACATTATTTTGATAAAAATGCCAATAAGGCCAGCTTTTCTCAAACATCTGGCTGCAAGGAATAAGTGCTAAGCAAAGAATGTTTTAATGCGATACACAGATTCATGTTTGAGCTCTCTCAGAAATACAAAGCCACAATTTTCTCGGGAATACATTTTTTACCGACAAGAAGCTCACGCGTGTTCCTACTGCGGCTGAGAGCTACAGTAGGTGCTTGTAGATGGGCTGAGAGAGAAGTCCTACTGTGGGAGAAATGTCACGTTTTAACAGACATTTCCGACCGACCGCTGAGAGAATTGTAATCATGTATTAAAAGCTACATTCATAAAAATCCCAGAGCACTTTTGGTGACATCATACTGCGCAGAACACAACATCCATGAAGGCAAAAAGTGGGAGAATAGGCCCGCCGAGTAAATCCATTATTTCATGTATTCAATCTACAGGGTTGGGGGACGTACCTTCAAAATGTTTTCCATTACAATTACTAGTTACCTGTAAACAATTTAATTAGTAACTTCAGTCATTCTGCTAGTAATCCCCATTTTAGTCAAATGTACCAGTTATCTATTTTGTTAAGAGAATGTAATGGAATGATTGAGTTTACATTTGACAAACATAGCAACAAAAAAAAACATGATATGCAAAAAGTGCAAAAGAGCAAGAGCAGCACACACAAGCATTAACCACATGGCAGTACAATGTAGCAGCTACGACATATAAAGTGCAAGAGAAGATCAAAGAGCTACCTAAAGTGCAAGAGGAGATACCCCTGTGTTAAAGTGCATTTATCGGTGATTGCACGGATGTTTGTTTCTCAACCATTCTTTGAGTTAACCTTTAAAACTGTTCAGAGTGGGACAATCCCGTATCTCAGTTGGGAGGCTATTCCACAATGAGCTGCCTTTAACAGAGAGGACATTTTGTCCAAAAGTGGTCCGTCTGCGGTGGACTTCACAGTCTCATCTAGTTTCTGACCTAGTGCAGCGTCCAGTGTTTTTTTTGTGGATGAATTCCCCTAAGGGAGGGGGGGGGCCAGTCCATGTAAGCATTTATAAAAAAAACACATACTTTTAAAAGACTTTAAAATGGTCAAAACTCAAGAAATTGTGTTTTTCAAGGATGCTACAGTGGTGGTATGAATGTGTCTTTCTGTCAAACACCTTGATAACTCTCTTGTACAGCTGTTCTATGGGTTTCAGGTTTGTGGCACAAGCAAACGACCAGTTTGTAAAACAGTATTCAATGTGGGATAGAATCATACAGTGGAGGTATGACTTTGAAGCATTGAGAGTTAAGAAAGGTCTGATTTGTTTAAAATGTTTGCAAGTTGAATTTAACGGTATTGGATACTTTCTTGATATGTTTCTTAAAATTCAAGTTCGAGTCCAGTATGACTCCAAGATACTTGAACTGGGAGACTAGTTCTATTTCTACTCCGTTTAAAAACACGTTGGATCCTTCGATTTTGACTGGTCGTTTACTGAACATCATGCATACTGTTTTTTTTTTTACGTTTAACTGTAAGCAAATGTTGTTCAGCCAGTGTTGAACTTTGTCCAAAGCATTTGAGACAACATGAGATCATTTCAGTGTTCTTCCTGTGTACAAAGATGACCGCATCATCGGCATATTTTTGCACATTCAACTCAGGACATACATTAGACAAGTCATGTACAGTGAAAACAGTAACGGTCCAAGAATGGAACCTTGTGGAACCCCAACAGGGTTCACAAGGTAGGAGGATTTGACACCGTTGACCAAAACACACTGTCTTCTGTTTGATAAGTAAGACTTAAACCAATGTATAGAAACTGCAGAGAAATGTAAATGAGTAAGCTTTGTAAGGAGCACTTGGTGGTCAACAGTGTCAAAAGCCTTCCTGAGATCAAGGAAGACAGCACCTACATATGGGCTCGTGTCCAACATACATTTAATCCGATAATTTTTAGGTTGATAACATAATATTTCAATATTGTGAGTCAAGTCGTTGGTTTATTTTGTATGTGACCATATCATAAGCGGGATAATAATCATCCCGTACATAAAATCGCATTGCAATGAAAATACATCACACACATTCCTGGCAGATACACACCTGGATCATTGCTGACGGAACCTTTGCCATTCTTCACGTCCACAACCCAAGTCGCCTCTTTCCCATCGGGTCCATCCTTCACTTTGAACGCAAACACTCCACCAATCTTCTTGACAAGCTGCTCTCCTTCCTGCAGGGAGTCCACAAGGCTTTGTTTCAGTTCACAGATAATGTTTGGAGACATAGACATGAATCATTTAAATCACAGTCATATGAGTGTTGTTAAAACTATAACTCCCTTGCCTGTAATTACTTCTTCGTTTTTACCACAAGGCAATTCAATAATCGAAATGTAGATACGAGGCATAATATCACACATTGAATGCTCGTAATTCTGGCCTTGCACTAAAATGAAGTGAATAGCATTTAAATCAGAGGTAGGGATAACACTGGTATTGAAGATAACTGTTATATTCATGGTAATAATACACATGATAATACTATGTAAATAATCCAGTTTTTTATTTTTCCACTCTTAATCACCCTCTGTTATCCTGACAGCCCAATTCAAATACAGAGGCATGCATATTCCACATATTAAATCTTCCCTCCCGAGGCTTCCAGGCACATCAGCCGCCCTTGAACAAGCTTTACATTTGCCCACCTTTTCACACCTTTATTGTAAAGCAGCTCAATGCAGCAGCCACAGTCACATGTCGATTATAATAGACAATCAATGACAGGCTTATGCGGTTTTGAGAGCCTTAAACAGTGGCGGCGCTAGGGGGTGGCTACTTGGGCTCAAGCCCCGGATGTTTTCTGAAAAGCCCCGGATGTTTCACTTAAAAAATTTAAAAAAAATTTAAAAAAAGTTTGAAAACGTCTCTTGAGTAATGTGTAGTACCGGAGTCCACCAGAGAGGCAGCCGCTGCGGGACATTAGCCTTCGTACTGCGTAGCCTTCCCTGCCCTGAAGAAGAAGTGATCCTTCCTAGTGCCTGACGAGTTTTAAGCTAATAGCCTATAAAGTTATGGATATTAGAACGTTATTTTCATCGAAGCAGGCGCCACAAGCTGCAGCAGTATCAGCAGCTGACAACAATGTCATCACCAGCAGTGAAGAAATGGATGATGTTTCAGGTTTGTGAATCTAATGGTGATATCTGCGAGAGTGATGTAACGTTAATGTTATAGCTAGTAAACATGGAGTAACCACACTAAGTATACCCTTATATGTTAGTATGTATACAGAACATGACTACAAATTATCCTAAGATGTAACGTTAACCCTTCATACCTCAGTCTACTTTTAAGACACTCAAATAACATATTCCAATTTTTATTTTGTTTTCTCGCGTGGAATTATACCGGCTCTCGTTTCAGTACACATAACAATGGAACCATAGCAACGGAACTGACAGGCAACCCTCTGAATCCGATTGGCTGTGACTGCATCCACTCAGAGTGTCTGATTCAGAAACGTGACTCTTATGCTACGTTCACACCGGACGCGATGCGAATATTTATGGAGTCAGATTTGGGTCAATATTATAGCGCACAAAACAAGCTACTCACGAGCAGAAAATGTGCTTTTACACGCGCATGAAATGACCCTCGCGCGCAGATTAAACCCCCGCGAGACAGCCCTCTTGCTCGCTAGCGGGAGTGTAAGCCTCACTCGCTCGCGGAGTCTGTCTACGCGCGCGTGAAAAGTTTCTGATACTTTGGGGCGGAGCCACTGGACTTTGATTGACAGCTGCCAGGAAGCCCGGAGTTGCCAGGTTTGATAAATGCCTGAACTACCAAGAGCCGAGGAGTGACAGCTGCAAGATCAGTTGGATTGATTGGTAAAGTTGTCCGAGCAAGAGGGCTGTCTCTCTCGCTCCCCCTTCAATCGCCTCAATCGCGTGATTCGCGCGGCGTCCACCGCTTCATGCGCACCGTCGGAGCGAATTCGCGTCTGATCGTGTCTCTGCATTGACTTTACATGTAATCGCGCCGCCCCCAAACGTCGCATCGCGTCCGGTGTGAACGTAGCATTACACTTTTTACGTCACAAACAAAGATGGTGGATGAGAATAGATCTATAAAACGATAAGCAATGCGCCAGAATCAAGGTGAGACTATCCGCATCCTTTAAAACTCTACGCACATTAGTTTCACCGAAATAAGTAAACGACTGTATTTGAGTGAGTTAAGGCATTAGTTTGCTTCATTAAAGGGTGTTAATGAATACGTGTTCTCCAGTGCCTTTTGTCCGCTTTAAGGTATTATTAAGGTAGGGTTAATGTTGCTCTCAAAGTGCACCAGATTGATGCTTTTAACTTCAATATTTTAAAAAAAATCTTCCCGGGGGAGCATGCCCCCTAACCCCCCTAGAGGAGGCGACGACTCCCCTAAAGGATGTTCGGTCCACCCCACACTTGTAAAAAATAGCACCCCAACACAAATCCTAGGCTAAACCTCGGATCTCCTACAATCCTAAATCCGCCACTGGCCTTAAACTTCACGTTTTTAACTAGTAATATTCTAACACAGTAAGAGAGGCCTGGGTGTTCATCGAGAGAAAGTGTGCATCCATTTGTAACAGCTTGACTTGTGCACATAAAGTACTCGCCCACCTATACCTCATTCACACCAACGCAACTCCGGTTCAAGCTCCGTGTTAGAGCTTTTCAGGTTCAGAACCGGTTCTTCGGTTTAGCTCCGGCTCTTTTCACACCGCCCAGAGTCCGACTGGTAATGCGTCGTTGCGTCATCGTTTGCGTCATGGCGTAACCGTTTGCGTGCCTGCTTCATAAAGCCAAACCGCGCGGATGAAATCAGTAGCATTTATTTCTTATGGCTCTATCTGCAGCTTTTCCGGAGTCATTTCTGTGGTTTAGTTATATTCTTATAAAAAAGTGTACTTGTGTCAATAAAGGTTTTTTTAAAACACAACTGTTTCCGAGGTCGGTCTTATTTCTTAAGGTGGACTGAACCATGAGTGTGGAGTAACGTTGTATCTTTCATTTAAATGAACTGTAACCTTCACCCAGGTATGTAACAGCTGTAAAGTTTAATATATATAGTTTTATAGATTTGAAACACCGTTGGTGTGAATGAGGTATAGTGTGTTTTTTTAGCCTTGAACACAATATACAGCTCAGAGTCCTGCATCGGGTCGGGTACCCGCGGGTACCCGCGGGTACCCGACGGGTGACCCGCAAAAAAGGTGATTCGCGGGTGGTATTTTTTCAAACGCTTTTTTCCGGGTTCGGTTCTGGGTAAAACAAAGATGATGCGGGTCGGGTCGCGGGTATTGCATAATAAATATATTAAAATAATAATAATTTAGTTTAATGTTTAAATCCTCAGACCTCTCCCCCGCGGGACCACGCATAATCGTAACCTCTGCAGCGCATCAATCTGCTGCTGTGTAAATTCTCCACATTCGAAATGGCTGAGGTGAGGCTCTCTAGCAGAGAATACAGCATTTTCAATAACACTTCCTCAAGAGCGAAATCCAACGTCTGGGAGGCTTTTGGTGTCATCCTAGATGGAGAAAATAACCAACATCCCACGCTTTTTGAGACAAATATGCAACTGCGTGTGTTAATAATTGCACGTTTTCACTGCTCATATGCTATGCGGGTTCGGGTCGGGTTGCGGATCTTGTGCCGACGGGTCGGGTCGGGTTGCGGAACTAATTGGCAATATGTGCGGGTAACGGGGCAGGTTCGGTATTGTACGTCGCGGGTGCGAGGCGGGAGCGGGTCTTGAAAATCAGACCCGTGCAGGACTCTGATACAGCTACAGTTAAACTTTTTCTTGTAACATAAAACAGCAAGCAAAAAAATACCGATCACCTGCTGGCTCCCGATTAAGAATTGAGAGCAGCTGGGTGCAATTCCTCTTGGCCAATCGGGTGCTCAAAAAGGGGCTTAAGATGCGGCTTTCACACCAGCGCTTTTCCCTTTCTAGCTCCGAGCGGGTGCTTTTCTGGTTCAGCTCCGGTTTCCCTTTTCTGCTCCCGCTCTGTTCACACCGCCCAGAGCTGCCGCTGCTGCGTCATGACGTCACCGTTTACGTGCCTGCTTCATAAAATCCAAACCGCGCGGAAATCCCTCACATCGACAACAACAACGGCCGATTGTATTGAAGCGCTGTTCGCTTTGGTTATCCTCTTACGAAACGAAATGGAAGGCATCGGACGACTTTACAAGGGACGACTTTACTTGGAACTTTACAAACATCACATGCGAAATGCAAGACTTCTTTGTGGTCTTCAGCATCTACTTCAACCCGCCTCGACCTAAGAGAGACGTAAGTGACGCCGCCTCTTAGCTCCGAAGCTCTTGCCTCTAGACCAGGGGTTCTCAAAGTGCGGCCCGCGGGCCAATGGCGGTCCTGGGAAATGTTTCTGGCGGCCCGCGATAGTTAATGTGACACGCTGAAATGCATGCGTTATATTTGTAATCCTCCATGGTTCGTATCTAGTAATTTAGGTTAACTTAGTGTTTCGTTTGCATGCTTTTATTTTGAAGGCGAGATAACGTGTTTGACAGGAAGTTGACGGATAAAGTAGTGTCTTCTATGTCAGTGGTTCCCAAACCGCGGCACACTGGTGTGCCGTGAGGCAAGTCCGGCTGTGCCGTGGGATATTGTGACAACCATACGTTATTATTGCAATATACAACTACACAAAAATAATTACTTTTGAATTTACTATATCAGTACTTTGTAGGTTTATATGTACGTAATCTGCGCGACTTGCGCGTCCACATCTCCACGTGCAGTGCTGCATAAACATGGCTGAGTCAGCGATAACTTTCGAGGGGTGGAGGTATGCCCATTATTTTGAGTTCGTCCGAAGAATAGACAGGAATGTGACGGTGAGGTGCAAACTGTGTCCAGGCCAGAAGCTGTTATCCACTGCTGTAAACACCACGTCAAACCTCAACAAACACCTGCAAAGAACACATGCTAAGGTGAAGCTACCGCACACGCTATTTGTTGTTTGTTGATATCACGTAGTCTGTTCTTCTTCTCTGTCTTCCGGTTGTTGCCTGTTTTTGAATGACAAATACACACTACCGCCGCCTGCTGGTAAGGAAAGTTATTGCCACTCACGCATGCATGTACGTGCTCGGCGAGTAAAGTAACGAGTTACTTTATGTAGATATTAACGAAGTAGTGTAATATATTACTTTTTTTAAAGTAATATGTAATATATTACATTTTTTTAGTAACGACCCCATCTCTGGAGTTGGCGTTCTCTACTCTGATTTACATGAAGAACAACAGGAGGTCACGGCTCTCTGTTGAACAGGACTTGCGAGTGGCCCTCTCCTCAGTGCCACCAAGGATTAAAACATTCTGCGTGCCTCGACAGGCACATGTATCTCACTAATTTGTAAATCGACAAAATATTTACAATAGCACATGTTTCAATGCTGATTGCTGAAATGTTACATTTATAATTTGTAGTTCAGGACCATGGAAAATGCAGCTTCCTTACATTGACAGTTCTCTGTGCTGAATTTCTGCTGAGTTTCCTTTGCCTCATTTTTTATTTTGTGACCTGTCTGGTTTAAATGAGTGTGTTGCTGCTTTGATGAAGCCTAATTTGATAAAGTTTCAAATTAATTTCTGAAATATTTCATGAGTAATATAGTTGTCTTTGTCACATTTTATTTGGCATTAGTAAATAATTATGCACATTTACAGATATTTTACATGATATGAGTGATAACACGTGTTATAAGGGCTATTTTGCACAATAGGTGTGCCTTGAGATTTTTACTTCACCTTTGGTGTGCCTTGGGCACAAACAGTTTGGGAACCACTGTTCTATGTAACGGCAGAGAAAGAGAACAGCGGACTGTATGTTTTAAATGTTTAGCACCCCCCGAAGAGGCCACAAGCTCTTACGTAGGGGCTGGAGTTACAAATAAATTCTGATTCATCCGTAAAGTAAAGCCTACGACCATTATTCGGAGGGAAATGCTACACTGTCATTTTTGCTAGATCAAAAGTCGAAAGTTGTTTTGGATGAGTCACTAGTTGACTGGTAAGAAATTATATGAGAAGCCGCTGTGGTGCATCTGATTAAAATGCCAGAGAAGATGTATACTCCAAATGATGTTTATTGTAAATAGGAGGTGAATGCCAATATATGTACACAAAATGTATGTGTGTTTGTTTGTAGCCTATATATAGGTATGTAAAAAGGCGTGTGTGTGATTGTGGTTATTTGCGTGTGCGTGTATGCGTGTGTGGTTAAGTATATGAACGCACACAAAAGTCCGCACTGGAAGCATGTCCCAAAGGCGGCAAAGTGTTCACGTGAACAGCCCGTGGCCCAAACCATCAGTCCTTCGCAACAAAAGTTGTTGGAAGTTTTCGTTGTGTAAGCGAGATGGAGGAGCGAGGGCCGTCGCGTAAAAAACGTTGTGTCAGTGAGGAGAAAAGGAAGTTCCTGGAGAAATGGAGCAACGCTTACTTCGTTTTACCTCAGGGGTCGGATAAAGTGATATGCCTCATCTGCAAGCAGGTGAATGTAATGCTCAAGGAGTATATATCAAACGCCATTATGATACCAATCACATTAGACAGGAAATCCACAGCATATCACTCACTCCAGCACAATACTCTCTCTCTCTCTCTCTCTCTGTGTGTGTGTGTTTGCAAGGCACTTTTGAGACAAATTAATGTTTGATTAATCTTAATGTATACTGTATGTATAATTGGTTAGTACAATAAAGAAAGGATTTGTTTTGGAATTATTTTGTGTTCCGTTTTTTTCTTGGGCGGCCCTCAATCCAATATTGGGTACCTAAATTGGCCCTCACTCATCAAAACTTTGAGAACCCCTGCTCTAGACCGACAATTTTTTGGAGCTGGAAGTGAACCGGATTCCGGAGCTAAGAGGCGGCGCCTCTGCGGTGTGAACAGGAAAAACCGGTACTTTTCAGGCTCCAGCTCCGAGCCGGAGCTGAAAACGCGTTGGTGTGAAAGGGGCAGAGAGGAAGAGAATTGCACACCCAGGTCCTTCTGATACTTCCTGATGCAGAACTCATTTCAGCAGATACTCACAGCTGGAAACTCTTTATACTCTTTTGAAACGATATTCATAAATTGGGCAAAGATGTCAACTGTGTGGATTTGTGTTTATGTTGATGCCAATAGAGACATAGCTAAATTCATCCCTATGCACCTTAGGGGAAAACCATACATTCTTCTCTATTGACTTCAAATTAAGTGAAGGTGCCTCCTTGCAATTGTTGTCTGCTAGCAAACCACATGAAAAATGCCATACAGCTGCTTTGTGGTGGGATTCCCTTTCAACACGGTAAGAAAAAAATAGAACCACGTTTTTAAGCTTCCAAAGTCAAAAAAGAAATGGGCCATCAGATGATAGGAAAACAGTTGGATCCTGACACTCAATGGGAGCAGCAAGCATTTTCCCAAATGTCTAACTATGAAGGAGTCATCCTTGTATTTACTATTACTATGTTGAAATGCTAATGGTACAAAAATGTGTATGCTACATGGCCATGAAACTGCAGTCTGCGTCCATATTCCAGCCTTCAAGCACATTAACAGTTCAGTAGCTTACTGCATTAATTTAAAAACAGAAAGATATAAGACTTACAACTAACTTTGCTTTTCTTTGATGTGTCCATATATGTTAGCATTTGCCAATGGAAGGACACATTTGAAATCAAATAATTCCAAAGGATTAAACGCATCAGATGTTTGAATCAAGTTGTGAGGGGACTTTTTGTTAGTGACTTTACCTCCTGCAGACGTTTTTCCATCTCTTTGAAGACTGGGTAGGCTTTAAACCCTTCCTGACCGCCGACCAAGCTGGTGGGAACTGCAGCTACTTGGGAACTGGGGGGCAGAAAAAAGCAGCTAGATACGAAGTACACGCTGAAAAAAGTGCTTCAGCTATCTGTAATTTCACCATGACTCAGACATGTGTACACATATGATTTGAAATGTTATGTGGCAGACTAAGGAACAGAGTACAAAGCAATGCACTTAATGTACAGTACAAGGCCAATCCATGTATGGTTGTTGTTGGCCTTCCTACCATTCAAAGTGCTTTTAAAGTACATGTTAATGTTTCCCCATTCATATATTGGTACACACACAGACACTGATGGCAGAGGCTCATCGAGTTGTAATGTAAATGCTCACACACTCACACACCGATGGCACAGCCTTGGGAAACGTTGTATTGGGGCTTTATTAAAATAAATGTCTGATTTTACATCTAATTGCTTGGTTTCTTCCAATAGATCAATCTCCTAAATGTGCGTGAATAGATCACCATGTTATTTAGATTGAGTTCCCTCAAGCAGCATGTTGGAGATAGCCACAGAAAGGCTAGATAAAAACATAAAGCTACGGTTTTAAAACAAGCTGCCTAAAAAACAGCGAAACCACACTTTCTTAAACAACAAATTCAGGATTGTTCAAGGACTGTACAAACCAATACGTCAAGTTTGAGACGATGGATCAGGGTTAATTCACAGTAACAACACTGATACATTTTAATTTTCTTTAAAATTGTAATTTACTTCAAAAAAATAACTGATGAACCTGCATTTCTAGCACAAATATAACATTTCAAGCACTCTTAATGAACCATGTTTATAAATGCCAAGGCCTAAATTACAAACTTAAGAATTTTATAAATAAATTAGATGGATGTACCTAATATTTGTATGAACAGATCAACAATTCATGTGTAAATGTGTCATCTGCAAGTGTACAACACTTTCCACAGATATTAAAACGGAACTGTACATTTACAAAAAAATTCCATAATGCAGCATTTTTTATTGTTCCTACCACAACTATCGAAGAGGCATTTGTGTCGTAAAGGCATCAGTGTTCACTAAAATGTCACTGGTTTAAGCTAAATCTACCTATATCACTGAAAACATCTGATGGCTTCATAGACTGCTGAGGACGTTTTTTCTGCATTTCAAAGTAAGAGCCTGCAGTCTAGTTGTTGCTTTTTTTTATAACCAGCAGCAAGAAAATGTGTTATTTTCCAATGTAAATGACACAGTGAGTGTGTGTTTATTGGTTCCATGTATATTACCTACCTGAACTTAATACAAATAGTTGGTAACTACTTCCTCACCTGGCCGCCTGAGGGAATCCCAACTTGTAGAGAGCAACAACCACAGCTCCTCCTAAGCCAATGTTGTGCTGCAGGGCCACTTTGGCCCCGGGGACCTGCCTCTTGTCAGCCTCCCCTCGGAGCTGCCAGCACAGCTCGGCACACTGAGCCAGACCTGAGAGAGCACAGGGAGGGGAGGGATGGAAAGGAAAGACGGTGACGTGACTTTAAGAGGGGAATGTGGCGTTATTTTGGCCTGATGAAGCTGCAAATGGCTGAAAATGTATATATAATAACAATAACGTTGTATTCAATAAAGTGAGAAAACAAGTGGACCTGTCTTTTGAGTTTCTGAATGCTCCAATGTGTACACCTCCTTGTTGCTAACTTTGTCTAACTGCTGACAGACGTCATGCATCAGATCTATTGGGCTGAAACCAGCTGCCCTTTGCGTCTGGACACCATGTCCATGAGAGTAGTGTGAGTGACAAAACAGTGAATTTGCGGACTGTACAACCAGAACAATGAGCTGAAAATGTTAAAAAGCTCAAAAAGGGCCTTTGCAGGGTCAGGTTATAATTATTTATGGTTTCTACATTACACAGTCATTTGATCTAGTGTTAACCAACAAATATTATGTACCTGCAAGTGACAACAAACTCTTTGGACGAAAAGACTGTGAGAGGTATAAAACATAATTTTCCATTCTGCTTACAATAAGAGGAGGAAAGGTTGAATTGTATTGCTTTTTCTGTCTTGTTTTTAGAAACATCTACATTTGGGCCACAAAAAAGGACTCCGGCCAACCAGATAAGCTTAATTAAATACCACTTAAGCAATAAATATTTCAAATATTTATTTTAACTCATGTGAAGGAGTTTAAGTTCTCGAGTGCAGTCACTTTACCGCATCATTGTGACAAAGAGAGCTGAGCCAGAAGACAAAGCTCTCAATCTACCGGTCCATCTTGTTTCCGACCTTCACTAACGGTCATGAAAGATGGATCATGACCGAAAAACCCAGATCGCGAATCCAAGCGGCCCAAATGGGTTTTCTCCGGGGAACGGATAGCATCTTTCTTGGGGACAAGTTGAGAAGTTGGATGGATGGATTGATTTCAGGGTGCATGTTTTACCATATGCTGTCCCTACGTGTTGGATGAACAAAAAGCAAATACTTGGTTGCCAATTTCTCAAAAAATGGTAGCCAATGGAAACCTGGCAACGGTTATTGTCAAGGCCTGACTGCTATGAGACTCACGAGACTCAAGACTCACACATGTGGAGTCACAGTCAATATCTTTGTTTGGGAGTGATCCTTGAAGAAACCCCACCAAAACAGACACTGTATTGTTACAATAGGGTAATATGTCTTGGCATTCTGCAAGTCATAAACACAATAGCTTCATCAAGAGGGGTGACAAATTGACTCCTAATCTGACAACTCCATAATCTCGACAGGGCCAGCTACTGCGCTAGCGTTAAAGCTAAGTATTTCATCCCATCTGCTTAATGAGCTTTTGCATTTCTCTATTATCCCAATAGGCTAAAGAACTTAAGGGTAAGGACCTCATCATGGTGCCTTTTTCGCAAACTGAGCCACTCTCCTAATCTTTTCCACAAGGACTTGTTTGTGAGGAAAAAAACAAGGCTAGGGCTTTTTATGAAAACACAGCCTCTGGAAAACACTTGAGACATTTTATTCATACATAAGGAACATTCAGAAATGGTCCTTCAGTAAACTCTGAAATAATGCACTTGATCATCACAGTCCTTTAACCTTCTGAAGTTTAAAGGGCTTGGTTTGTCCGTCATATTCATCAAGCTGCCCTTTAATGCCCATGGATGTTGTGTTAACGTGTACAATTCCCATTGTCTTGAGGGGGCTCATCTTACTTCCTGCATGTGAATTGACTTGAATATCTCAGCTGACGGTGAACCGGGGGACAGAGATCGCAGCAAAGATTAGGAGCAACACAGAGGATCAGGCGGAGCTTATCGCTGACTCGGGCTCTCGCACTCTGAGCGTGACCCAGGGGAATTGATAATGACATGGGTGGGCACAGTTACTACAGTATATTGTTCAAGTGCTATTGAGGGTTTTCCCTTTCCTGTAGGGTGTTTTTTGTGTATGTTAATGGTCTGCAAAAGCTGAAAAAAGTTACCTACAGAGGAAGTTTCTCTCCCACACACCCCTCCCTCCGCCTGAAACGCCTCGAATGCACTCCTTTGTTTACTTCTTGAGCATAATGAGATGACTGTGTTACACTTGCGCATCTATTGGCCAACGCTCCAGCACTTTGTACGTAAAAGGCTAAGGGGCTGGACTCTAATGCCGCGTTTCCACTGCAGCGTGTAGCTCGCTTTAAGCGTGCCGAGCCGAGCGGGGCCCGTTTCTGGTTGCGCTTCCACTTGGCCTAGTTTTGGCCCGAGGCTACTTTTTCACCTTTTTTCTGGCCCGACTAAATCGTGGTTCTAGGGCCAGGAACAACCAGGCTGAGTCGGGCTGAGTATGCTAAACTAGAGAGAATCGCTGGCAAGGGGGCTACAACTACAACAAGATGAACATATTTGACCGTGATTTAATTGTAATACACGTTTCAAAATGATGCCGAAGTAACAACATACTGATACCGGTTAGTAAAAACCATGAATTAATGCTTTGACATGTCTGCAGACAGACGGCAGGCGAAAAACCCTTTAAAAATGCGTGTTTTCTAAATGTAGCTTGGCTAAGCTAACGTTATATATGCTCCGACCGTCCACACTCACAACAACGGCCTATACAGACATAAATAAACCAGCGACTATATTCGCCATGACACAGGCAGTCTGTGGTTTGTACTTGTTTAACTTTTGTCAAGTTTCTGAACAGATATGAAGAGCTGTGAGCTCCGAGTGCTAAGAGCTAACGGCTGTGTTGTTTTTCTGGGGCGCTCATTGAAGATTACGTCACGGCTCCGCCTACACTGCGTTACTAGTAACTACCCCAGTTCCTAAACTGTAATGGAAGCGCAGCATTAAAGTGAGCCGGGCCTAACCAAACCGAGCGAGGCCGAGCAAGGCCTGCAGTGGAAACGCGCCATAAGCGGTTGACCAATCACAACAGAGCCGGCCAGCTAACCAATCAGAGCAGACTGGGCTCTGGTTTCAGACAGAGGGTGAAAAGAGGTGCTGCAGCACAGGCAGTGTGAGACAAATAAAGAAATGTTTTTAACGTGTGTGTGTCAATACAACTTTTTTCTTAAATGACATATATATACATGTAATACTCTTATTACAGGTTAGTCCTGCTTTCCATTTTATTTTATTTTTTAAAAAGGGCAAAAGTATTCGCTTCAAAATAAACTTTAAAGAACCAAAAATAAAAACACTTGTTTTGCATAACTGCCACATTTCTGATCCTATATATTAATCTCCTGAAATATGAGTACATTAATTAATTAAAAGTTTCCATCACAGCTTGTCAAGGCGGATCTTTTATGTTTTACTTTTTATACAGCTGCTAGATATTTTAATTGATATACGTCAATATTTAATAGTTGGTTAATATGTTGTTTAAGCTCATAAGATAGATCTATAAAGTAACTGAAGCTGTCAAATATATAAAACAGCAACACATTGAAAAACTCAATGATTTCAAAAGTGTTCATCACTACAGCACAGTATGTACATTCCACAACTGGAACTGAATGACTGTGTACAATACAAAGAACTGTGTTAAGAGTAGAATTAGAAGTGTGGGGAGGAAGATGGAGGCTTGTTGAGCACAGGGTCTCGTCCCTCAAGAGTTTCACTGAGGCTTTTATAATCCTGGTTGCCGTCAGCAGCTCTTTTTTCAAAGCTACCTCTTTATAACCGCACAGTTCTGCCGCTTTAAATTATTATCATTATCATATTTTATTCTTAAGAGTTTGTAGGCTACTTTTTTCTATATTGCTATTTCTGTTTAACATATGTTTCATTTATTTTTTATTTCATAATTATTGTTTTAACAGATTTTAAAATAAAATATGTATTTCTCTACAGCTTATTCCCTATAATCGAGATTGCTTTTTTATTTTTATTTGAATAATGTTTTTATTAAAATAGCTCCTACTATAGGTAGGTATATATTTGTTACTTTTTTTTAAAACAGCTTTTATATATTTGTAACTTGTTTATATATGAACCACATAAAACAAAGCGAATTCCTTGTGTGTGAACCTTCTTGGCAATAAACCTGATTCTGACCATTACTATGTGACACATGCCACCTAGTGGCCACCAGGGAAGTGTGCACTCTACAAAAACACAATAGATGTATGACTTTACTCTCCTCTACATACCACTCTGATGCTCCAAACAAGTTAAGAATTAGCTGGAAAAATTGTAGGGCCTCGTCTGATATTTTCACTTCCTATCAGACTTGATTATGTATCATTTGCAGTATCCGACGAGAATATTTCATAAAGAGTCGTGGCTGTGTGTACCTGTGGCGCCTAGAGGATGTCCTTTAGAGATGAGCCCACCGCTGGGGTTGACCACAAACTTGCCTCCATAAGTGTTGTCCCCTCTGTCAATCAGCTCCCCGGCTTTACCTGCAAAGATCATGAAGAAACAATGAGATGATACAGGAAATCTAGAGTACATTGGATTGTTCTCCCCTACAATTTGATAATATTGTATTCAAGCAGTGAGAGAGGCTGCCAGTCTGTGGTCTCACCCTCTGGACACAGCCCCAGAGCCTCATATGTGATGAGCTCATTGGCTGAGAAGCAGTCGTGCAGCTCCACCACATCCACGTCACTGGGCTTCAGACCGGCAGCTTCATAACACTTATCAGCAGCCATCCGAGACATGTCATACCCCACCTGATCAGAACCCAGAGAGAGGTATGTTTAGGAACTCATTTTAGGAGACTAATTAATCGTATTGTAGTCGATAAATCACAGATAATTGATACTGTGAGGAGGGTTTACAGTACAGCTGAGAATTACAAGACGAGGGTTACATCCAACCAATCCTGGGAGTGGATAAAGCCTCACTGTGTACATGTTCCTCACACAATGCTCTGTTTGCTCTATTGGGTTCTATTCTGCGTGAACATATTGGTGCCTGTCAATAAAATATGATGTATTTATTATTCAACTTAAAAACAACCTATAAAAAGGCAAATAAATATGACCTCATCAAAGAATGTAGATTAAAATGTAATGAAAAGTAATGAATTTCAAATAAAAGAAATCCCGTCGACAGACTCTTGCCTAACACAAAATGTGTGTTAAAAACATAATAATACCCGTGCCTACGCTGGAACTCTTACCACAAATATTTTTTGGATCAGACCTAAACTTTTATTTTTGATAAAATAAAAACGGATTAAAAACTGTTTGTAACAAACGGCCATTGACATTTTAAATCCGCTAAATACCAGCTGAGGGAAACTGATGTGCGAGCACGACATGTGAAAGGTGAGGTTGTTGTTGCTGTAGTGCAGGGGTGTCAAACTCAAGGCCCGTGGGCCAAAACCGGCCCGCAACCTCATTTTATGTGGCCCGCAAGAGCTTGCAAAGAATATTATATATAATACAATTGGTGTAATTGTTGAATATTTGCTTTCAATTATTTGCCCTAGACTTCTGCTTTCAGACGTAGTTATTTATGAAGTTATTACCAGAACTGATAATAATCCAATGAAGAGCCAATCATATAATATAATACATTATTTAATATATATTATATATGTATATTGATATAGTCTTAAAGTTACAACCGGCCCTTTGAGTGCAACCATAATTCTAATGTGGCCCGCGATGAAATTGAGTTTGACACTCCTGCTGTAGTGTATCATGTCATTTGTATTAGTGAAGAGTGATTCTTGGCTGTAACATACAGAGATGGTCTTTCTCATGACATCATTCAGACACTTTGTTTACATCGTCGTCATTTCTCACCATCTTAATGCAGCTGTTTTCTTCAAACGTGGAGGCGAGGTCAGTCACCATCTCCTGGGCAACGATCTCCACCGCCTGCTTCTCCAGATGGTGTTTCCTGACGAAGTCCTCGCTGGCCAGAACTGCTGCTCCAGCTCCATCTGATGTAGGGCTGGAGAGCAGGACGGGAAACAGTTATCATCAGTAACTCTGAACTTTGATTCAATCAAATAAATGACTACTTTGCTGACATAGTTACACTAAGCATTGGTGAATGCTAACTACAAAATTACTCAAGTACTATACTTAAGTACAATTTGGAGGCACTTGTACTTCACTTTTCAATTCCTGTGACTTTATACTTCTAATCCATAACAATTGGATGGCAAATATTGTACTGTTTAATCCACTAAATGTATTATACGGCTTCAGTTATTTTGAAACAAATATATTAATCGATCCCTCAAGGAAATTCACAATCTAGGCTGTAATTTATATATATATATAGTGTTATATAGTTAGTTGTTCTTTACCAGCCGCAACAATAAAGTGAAAAACCTATTAATGCATCAATAAATATAATAAAATAATCTATATTTTTCTCAAATTGTCTGGTGCGGAATGAGAACTTTCACATTTTTAACTTTAAATACATGTTGATGAAACTTTTATACTTGTACTTAACATTTTGAAAGCAGGATTTGTTCTTGTAACAGAGTATTATATAACTTGGTATTACTATTTTCACTAAAGTAAAAGAAATGAATACTTTGTACTCCACTGCAATTGAGGCAGGGTTATCATTGATGTTCTAAAGATGGCTCTACATGTAAAGGAGGTTCTTACCAACACTGCAGCAGAGTGAGGAAGTCAAACACCTTCCTGGAGTTAAGCACCTGCTCCAAACTGTACTCTTCCTGGAACTGGGAATACCTGCAAGCATGTAGACACACATATTCACACATACACATAAAAAAAGGATACATTAAAACAATTATTAAGGTTTTTTGGGATGCACAGGAACATCTGTAAGTAAAGCGAAATGTGCCGATGACAGTAGCCAATCTGTTTTGCTGGGTCATGTGACTTAGTACTGTAGAGGTACTTTTACATTTGAATTTGAAGTCAGTTTGTTTTGTTGCATCTGCTTACACTTTGTATTTACTCATTTTATTTATAAAACTGTTCAAACAGCTATACCTTCCTTCTATAGCGTACTCATAGTTATTCTGTCCATATTATACTATCTTTATTTCTACCGGCTCTATAGTGTATTTCATTTCTACACTACTGTTAATAGTGTGTATACCAATAAAGGCTGTTCATACTGTATACACTTATAAATACTTATATTCTTACTATGTTATACTAGACATCACTCTACTGCTTATTTCGCACTTCTGGTGAGATGCTTAAATTGTTATGTTTCGATGTTATACATTTCCCCGGGATTAATAAAGGATTTCTGATTTTGATGCTATTTGTATTTAGTTTTTCTCACTGTGCAAGCTGAATATAATCTAAAATAATCTAATGAAATATGTATTTGTATCATAAAGAAAACGCAGGTTTAATACATAATGAGGGACAACGAGAAAGTCCCCACTGACTGTTGGTACATAACATTTTTCTCATTGAGTAGGTCATTGTAAAAAAAAGTTATTTCCAGTTGGTGTCATGAAGTTCTGAGAGGCGGTTTATATTTTTTACAAGTAATAATTATTTGTTTTCCTGGCAAAAAATACACATTTAAAATGTGGCTAAATTGTTATTTTAAATATCGATATCGGCTGAAAAACTTGGTGCATCCCTATGTCTTTTTAAATCTCAGTCTTACGGGTTGTTGGTGGAGTGCTTGTGGTTTTTCCAGGCGATTTTGGCAAAGTGTTCCGGTTTTGTGCCTGGAAGAGATTCAAACACAAATGTTAACTCTATATGATAAAGGACAATCACAACCATAATGCAACATGCAACAATCCAACACTTTTACTTGTAACACCCTGTCAGCTCCCTCTTTATCCAACACACACGTAGCATGTACCGTATTTCTCCATGTGCTCTCTGCCAGCGTTTCCGAACATCTGCGGTGCTCCTGGAGCGGCCACCATCCCGTAGCGGTTGATCATCACCTCCATGTGCTTGTCCATGGGATTGGTCCTGTCCATAAACTAGAAAAAAGGAACATTTTCCACGCCGTAAAAAAAAACATCTTAAAAGGGGGAAATGAGGGTTTATTAAGGCTAGTTTCTATTTAGACTCAAACAACGGGGGGAACCAAAATCTTGAGCTACCTGAAACACAATTGTGTCAATAAACCATACACCATAAACATCTGGCTGTACTGGCATGTGACAGAAAATAAATTGATTTATCGACCAACTGTTCAGCCATTTTGTTTTAGATATTTGCTCTAAAAAAAGCTTTGACTTTTTATTAAATCTACCCCTTCTTCTCCATTGTAGTTGTAATGAAATCATTCGTAAGAAGCAGTTAATGGAACCTCATAAAAGAAGGTAGAAGTTCATTCATCTTTATGTCTGGGATGCAGCTACACTAAACTGTTGTGTCTGCTGTGATCTGCTTTTGAATGTTTATCATTATCCCTCTCAGGACAAGTGTAACCCACACTGATATTCCGTCATTTTAGCAAGTCAGACCATCAACACACACATTTAGTTTCATACCTTAGATGACAAAGAGCCCTTTTCCATCTTCTCAAACCCGAGGGCCAGAGCACAGTCAGCAAGACCTGCAACAGGAGATGAGAAGTGCTTAAAGAGAGGATTTTACAGCTTCACTTAAATAATAGATGACGGAATTAAAGAGGCCCTATTATGCTCATTTTCAGGTTAATATTGGTACTTAGTGCCTCTACTGTGACATGTCTCCATGCTTTAATGTTCAAAAAGGACTTTATTGTTCTCATACTGCCTGTGCTGCAGTACCTCTTTTCACCCTCTGTCTGAAACCAGAGCCCAGTCTGCTATGATTTGTTAGCTGGCCGGCTCTGTTGTGATTGGTCAACCACTTAGAGATGACCCGCCCCTTAGCCTTTCACGTACAATGTGTTTGAGCGCCTGCCAATAGAAGCGCAAGTGTTACAATGTTATGTCACTATGTTACCGAAGTAAAGTTAAGTCCAATAGAGGTGTTTCAGGCAGGGGGGGAGTTTGTTTTGGATTTTAGCCTTTGCACACCATTTACATGCACAAAAACCTATAATACACTACAGGAAAGGGAAAACCTCAAAAAGCATAATAGGGCCTCTTTAATGTATTGTCTCTCATTTTTATTTATTTTTTGTGAAAATGTGTTATTATTAGAAACCACTCAACCCCACCCTGAGCTCTTACAGCCATAGCATTTGGGAGGTTTTTCCCTTTTTAGACTCACCCCCCCGGACGAGCTGGCGGGCCATGTAGAGGGCGGTGGAGCCGGTGGAGCAGTTGTTGTTCACGTTGATGATGGGGATCCCGGTGAGGCCCAGGCTGTGGTAAATGGCCCTCTGCCCACAGGTGGAGTCCCCTGAGGGAATGAAGGAGGCAAGACGTGTAATTAGACCATGACAAACCCATTGTTTTTCTTCCAGGACCAGAAACACCTTCTCTTGTGGTTAAAGATTAAAACGTTCATTTGTCATATTCACATTGGCTACAGTGTATTTTGGCAACAGAAATCTTAAGACCCAGGCTCCTCCAAACGATACTACATACAATAAACTGAAGAAATAAAAGCCAATAAAAAATTGTGCAAGAACAAATACAAACAAAATGTAAGAAATTAAATTAAAATATAGTAAACATTTAAATTAAATATCATAATATTTGTTTTTAACCAGGGTTGAACGACGTGCAGATCTTTTTTTACCATAGACGTATCCTACACAGGCCTGTTCAATGGCAGAATATGGGACTCCTGCATCTGCTAGAGCCTTTTGACCTGGAACAGGATGTGGACATACAGTTATAAAAACACTTTGTCCCATGTTAAGCAACAAGATATATTTCACAGATATCCAGAAATGTTATCTTTCGATCGACTGAACAAAGTCCATATTCTGAAGATTAGCACCTGCTTCTTTAGCCATGTCCGGGTAATCATAGTCGCCACGGGCTCCAGGCTTGTCAAACTGCAGCAAAACACAGAAAAGTATGACAAACGGTAAATGTTAATCAATATTAGCAATCACATATTTTCCTGTTCTCCATTAAAGAAAATCATTCTTCTTCATTGGTAAACATTTAACTGTATTGTCAGCTAACCATTAGATCAGACTAAACCTCACACAGTCAATGGGATTAAGCTTTACTTTTAAGACCATTATGATTTGCTTTTCAAGATTAAACAATACGTCGATTGACAGAAAAAGAAAAAAAAACGATTTTGTTTTGATTATTCATCTTTTGAGTTCATTATTCGTCCTATTTAGAAATGTTTCAAAATATGATCTTGTTCCAACATCTTCACTGCTACTTGTCATATCACTTTGAAATCAAGGACAACAATTATTTGCAATTCAATTTCATCTTATAATACTTTGTTTGTAAAGATGTATTTGTGCATATATTTTAAATTATAATCAATATAAAGAAATAATACTACTATACAAATATTTATCTCATCAAGCAGTTGTAAACAAATAAGATCAATATTGTTTGTATTCACTTTAGAGAGACAGGGGCATCAGATGTGTATGTAATGACAGCATTTTACCACTTAAAGCATCACTTTGAAAATTCTTCATTAAAAACGTTTCATAACACACAAGTTGTGTCATTGTGATACACATAATAACTATAACTAAGATAATCCAATCATTTCAAATAGTTGCGTTACGTACAAATATATTTTTAAAAAATCCCCAATCATAATGTCTAAACACCGTAATGTGTTATTTATGTCATTTTCTTTTGTAAATTACTGCCACTAATTTTATCCATTGTTGTGAACAATTTTTCTTCATTTTGATTATTTTACTAATCTAGTTTTTAGTCTACTAGTTTTTTGTTTGTAATTTAAATGTTTGTAAGATGTCAACTATTAACTGTATTTGCACCTTTCAATTGTATTGACTGAACATAAGTGCCTTAAAGGTTTGTAAAGGACTTAAATGATTAATAAAGTTTATAAAAAATAAATATAATAAAATAATTGAGTAGGTTTTGATGCCTTTATTTTTTACCTTTAATTAATACAATTGTAAGTGCATTACTTTTAATTGTAACAGAGTATTTGTACACTGTAGTATTGCTAATTTTACTGAATCTGAGTACTTCTCCCATCTCTGCTTTGAGCAGCTAAAGCTCTGGGGGAGCAGCTCCTCACGTTAGCAGCAGCAATGACCCTTAGCACAGTTTGTCAACTCTGTTGGCCATGAAACTATGGACTCACAGTCTAGGCATAAGATACAGAGTTTATTATAGGTTGAAGCTAACATAGCTAGCTGCTTTGTACTTTGTTAACACTTATAAACAGTTCATTACACTATGGCCTGCTGGGTAATTTTAACAAAACAGGCGTTTAATGCACAGAAAACTGTTGTCAGCCCACAATGCTAGCCTCAAGTCTTCACTAGGGTCCTACATGTTGTCTGTATGGTGTTGTCTTGCAAAATAGGACACCATAAATGTTAAATAATATTACCTTCGTCATGCCCACACCGATGACAAACACCCTGTTATTGCCTCGTTGTGCCATAGTTGCTTTATTTCGACAGCTGGTCCACACAGAGAGACAGACAGGTCTGTGGGCAGCACACAACATTAGCACTGACAGGATACAACTGATTCAACTGTAGAGCAAAGATCCTCTGCACGCAAGACGATGCGTCACTCGGTAGGAATATTTAGCTTGACTAAATACAAAAATATGTTTACATTTCCACAAACTGATGCAGGATGAGATTACTTGAGATATACATGATTTACCTAACAGTCCTTATTTATTCCATAGTCACTTAAACATATTATTATGCCAGGCTACATGATTTTGCTTTAAAACAGTAAGGGATATTGTATCCGTATATTGAGGCGTGTGGCGCAGTGGATAGAGCCTTGGTGTTGGGATCAGGGGGTCACAGGTTCAAACCCCACTGCAGTGAGCATGTCGTTGTGTCCCTGGGCAAAACACTTCACCCCAGATTGCTCCTGTGGGGATTGCCCACAGTATTGAGTATGTAAGTCACTTTGGATAAAAGCGTCTAACAAGTAACATGTAATGTAATGTATCCTACAATATGGTATGGTAGGCAAAACCTAACTACCTAAAAGGTTAAGCTTAATTGATACTAATGCACAAGCACTTAGAATAGCAACAAACCTGCAGGTACATTTGTACAAATAAGCCATACTATTCTGAGTTTGTATCTTCAGTCTCTTGCATGATGGCTGCTGGAAGTGTTTCTTGAAATGCAGTTTGACTTTTAATTGTCCCAACTTTTTTTTATTTTACCAAATAACATGAAGGAGAGTGGGATCTGCTTTGTTACAATCCTTTCCCAGCCACTTTACGTTGATAAACATTTCTGGACAGCTCACGGTACCATGGAATACTGACAGAGTGAGAGCTCTTTCATTTATTCTCCTTGGTTTTTTCAAGATTCAAAGTTGTATTGCCAATGTACACAACTACAGTGTAGTTATGTAATCTATGAAAAACTTAGATCGCATGTTCCTCAACAGTGCAATTTACAAGACATAAAAACAAATATATAAAAAAACATTAACAAACAAATAAAAAATAGTGCAACCTCAGGTGTTATATTGTATGGCCTGTGGGATGAAACTGTCTCGGAGTCTGGTGGTTGTAGTCCTGATGCTGCGGTACCGCCTGCCAGACGGCAGCAGGCAGAACAGTTTGTGGCTGGGGGTAATGGGGGTCTTTTGTAATCCTGAGGGCTTTCTTCCTGAGCTGCTGGGAGTAAAGGTCCTCCATGGATGGCAGCTCCGTTCTGGTGATGTTCTGTGCAGTTTTCACCACCCTCTGTAAAGCCTTGAGGGCGGTGCAGCTGCCGTACCAGGCCGAGGGGCTCCAGTATTGAGGATCAGGGTGGAGGATGTGATGTTTCCCACCCGCACAGCCTGGGGTCTGCCCGTCAGGTAGATCAGGAGCAGATTAACAATCATCTTCTGTTCTTTCTTATCAGCTCAAGTCGTGCATTTTCACAATTTGGGATGTAAATCATTCATTTTGATCAGTCTTCATTTAAAGACATTACAGTTTCTACAGCCTTTTTATGATGTTCTGGGCTTTTTTTGTGTCTTGTATCTTGGTTTAATACACCTACTGATAATTAAACGTGACACTCACATTTGCAAAGAAAAAGCTTAACTCAAAATGTACACCTTTCAGTTTTATTGAGGCAGTGAAAAAAAACATGTTGATTAATACAAAATGTTGTGGTATCATTCCACAGCCTTTAATGTTCATCATCACCTCAGCATATGAAGCATCCTTGAGGCTAGCAATTGGCCTGAGGATATTTGGCTGTAGTGTTCAAACTCCCCCTCTGAGGCTTCGCGCATGATGACATCAACACTTGATGAACTGATGTGTGACTTCATATATTCCCACCGACTCGTTGACTCTCTCATCGTAGTCTGTCCAGTCCTGAAATTCACACAAGTATTTTAAAAGTAGCAGCGATGAAAGAGGCCTTCACAATCTGTAAATACAGTTGGCAATATTAAAAGTAATTTTCAGACAGAAGCAGGAGTGGAAATACATGAAAGAGTCAGTAACTAAATAAGTACTGAAAGATATCCAACAATGCAGTACCGCGGTTAAAATGTAGTTTTAAGTCTAATATTCTCTTAGAATAAACAAAATCGACAATCACTGAGGAACGCGTTGTTCCCTCTGCACTTACTTTTTCTAGCAGGTTGACTTCCGGAAACTTTGTTCCAGACTCTGCCCCCTGTGCTGCGAAGCCAGCCTGGAGTGGGTTTCATGGAAATCGAGAAGAGTCACATGACATTAGTTCAGTTCATGGATTTTGTTACCTTAACATGACTGTTTTTAAATGCCATTTTCTGAATGTCTTTCATTTTTTGTAAAGCACTTTGAATTGCCTTGTGTTGAAAGGTGCTATATAAATAAACTTGCCTTGCCTAAGTAAACTCTCTGACTCTGGAAACATATCCTTTTCTTTCCCAAAGCAAATATGTTGACATAGCAGAGAGCACGAATGAGTATCTAATAACATTATTCCATTTCAACCAATTTAGGTTGCATATTGCATATTACCAGGTGTCAATAAGCAAATCAATGATGGAGTTTTGGGGTCCTGACATTGTGTATGCTAACTCACTGTCATGGACACTTGAATGTAACTTTATTGAAGGGATAGTCCAGATGTTTAGAAGTGGGGTTACTTATCACAGTCAATGTATTTCCTACAATACATAGCAGTCAGGACTTCCTCTGTAAATAGAAAAACACTGGAGTCACACTGCTGTGGATCAAGGCAGTTGAAGTGTTTTACCCCTTTACCTTGCTTGCCGTCAGATATCCCTTTCCAATGGGGAACCCAAACCATTATTTCCTTCTAAGGTTTCGCCAAATCCACCGACTCCATTGACAAAAACAGTCATTTGACCTGGCATAACTCAAGGGAACCTGGTCTACCGCTGCTTCAATCAGTGAGTTTGTGTCTGTGACTTTGTTGAATCTAAAAGTAGCATAATTATTAGGGCTGTCAGTCGATTTAAAATATTTAATCGCATGATTGTCCATAGTTAATCGCACATTTTTTATCTGTTCTAAATGTACCTTAGAGGAATATTTTTCAAGTTTTTAATACTCTTATCATCATATGAGTGGACAAATATGCTTTATGCAAATGTTTGTTATCATTTGAACAATGACAAATATTCTCATGAATATTAAACACAACAACCTCTGAACATTACAAATATTCGCCTCAATTCAACCTGGAACCTCTCTCATACAATGTGCGTGTGTGTGTGTGTGTGTGTGTGTGTGTGTGTGTGTGTGTGTGTGTGTGTGTGTGTGTGTGTGTGTGTGTGTTTGTGTGTGTGTGTGTGCGTGCGCACGCTATGCGTTGGAGCAACTCAAGGCATATGCTCGAACCGGAGCTGCCTGGACGCTGCAATCATGTTGCGCACTATCCGTGCTGAGTGTGCTGACTTCTCGTACAATGTCCCACTGTCTGGCTTCCTGCATAAAGTCAAGTGCTCGGCGCAGTTGTGGCGAAATGTCGCTCCTCTGTTTTCATTTAAACAGCTCCTTATATCCGTTAGCGCAGCTAGCTAGCACCAGATGCTAACAACAACAATGCACGTAAGGTCTCTCTCTCGCTCGCTCGGGCCACACATACACACACCCTCCCGGTCCTCTAGATCAGTGGTTCTCAAATGGGGTTACGCGGACCCCTAGGGGTACGTTGGAGTACTGCAGGGGGTACGTGAGATTTATTTTATGCTAATAAAAAAAAAAAAACATAATTAATGCATTTAAACAAACTACTAATAGTAGATTAACTACTTTATTCAAAGGTTTACAGAAACTCTGGATAATAAAATGGGAAAATAAACGGGGTGCTCTCTTTTCCTCTCTCTCTCCTGACAGCCCGTCAGTCTCGTGCAGCTCGCTGAACCTGTAATAAGTGACCCGACAGTAAAGAATAAATATATTCTTAACTAGTTTAGCTTGTTCCAGAGTAGATAAACTAGCTAAGTGTGTTAGGTCTACCCCCTAATCCCACCAGGAGCGTCCGCGCTGCGCTGCGTTGCGCTGCGTTGCGCTGCGGCTGCGACGTTTTTAGCGATCGCGGCCACTCTAGTCAATGGGTGCTATTCCACCAGACCCGCTGCGCCGCGGCTTGAAGCGTCCCAGAAGCTCCTCGCCGCAAGGAATTTCTAAAATATAGGATGAATCCTATTTTTGGCGCAGCGCAGCGCAGCGCAGCGCAGCGCAGCGCAGGCAGGAAGTGGAACGTTCATCCAACAACTGCGAGGCTGCACACACGACGCTCGGCTTCCGCAACGTTTTGAAACGCGCCTGGTGGGTTATGATGCAGGAGGAGGTCGCAGCGCGGCGCAGACGCTTCCGGTGGGATCAGGGGGTTAGTGTATTTTGCTCCACTCAACGGTGCGTCACGGCGGCGGAGCTGTGATCATGCAGAGCTGCGTGTTCTCTGTCAGCAGCAGCTGATCTGATCTCTGATCTCTCTCTCCCATCCGGTTAGACTTCACTCCCGTTTATGTCCAAATCTATCAGATCTAGCTAATGGTATCACTGCCTGCTTATCAAAAGGACCTAAATAATAAGCGTTGCTTGACAATGGCGTGTGGCCGCAAAGTATAGCCCAGCATTATGCATATGTTTATATGAGGGGTCAAAATCCCATGCTCATAAAATGCTCATATTGTTTGTTTGTTTGTTTGTAGCCTTTATTTAACCAGGTGAAGCCCCTTGAGATCAAAAGATCTCTTTTTCAAGGGTGACCCATATCTTTTTTAAATATTTTTTTCTCTTCATTCCCCACGCCCCAAAATAAATAAATATACAAATTTTAGGAAAAGTAACGAAGTTTGAGTTTTATATGAACAGTTACACATATTTTCAAAACGCAAAGTGTAATAAGTGGCCTCCCTATCAGAATGACAACGATCCTCAGTGAAGCACAAGCCCATGTTTCACTACATTGTAAGGACAACTTATTAAAAAGATCAGTTCAATGCAACTAATGCCGTCTTAGTGTTATTGCATGATGTTAAAATTTGAAATGTAGCATTTAAGTGTTTCTCAGTTACAATGTTGTTGTTTTAATAAATCAGACTCTGATGGTGCAGCGCTGTACCTCTTTATATAGGCATTTTTCCTTAACAAATTGTTTTTGCGCTGATCAGGGGGTACTTGGCTGAATTTTTTTTTCATAGGGGGTACATGATTGAAAAAAGTTTGAGAACCACTGCTCTAGATGGCCAGTCGGTGCCTGCCGGTGAGCGTGGAAGTGTGGTCTGCTGCAAGCGGGCGGCAAGAGCGGGGCTGTCAGCATTAGCTTGTAGATGGTATTTTAAACTCGATGCGCTCTGAAACTACGGGGCGGCCGAGGGAAAAAAATACACATGCGTTAATCGCGTTAAAATAATTAGTGGCGTTAATTTTTTTTGCGTTAACAGCCCTAATAATTACACAAATAAACAACTAATGGATGCAAGTGAAAGCAATCCAAAACATTTAAATATAGCGTACATTTAAACTTGTATTGATATTTTTTTAGGTGACCCTTCCTTTAAGTTGTTTATTTTTTGCTGCTGCTTCTGTCAACAGCAGTATGTCGCTTGGCTTCCATACTATAAATGATTATGTACGGGGACATTATACCAAAAGGTCTGAACTATCCCTTTTATCTGATTGGTGATCTGTGCTTTGTTTTCTTCTGTGAAAATGTGTCTTACTTGAGGTTGGAAGTCAATGGGCTCCAGACCTCGACATTCAAACTGCACCATCGTCTTGAATCTTTCACTGTTCTCTGCCTTTAACCCAGCAAACAAAAAAAGAAAACCACACAGCTGAAAGAAAAAGCACTCACCAATGTATGTGACAAGTGTCCTGCATGTGTTTAGAGTAATGATATGATCTTAAGGAGTCACTTTACTTTAAGAACTGCAGAAATGAAAACAAAAGGTTACAAAACGTACAGAAAGGGATTGGTTCAAAATGTAGTTTGTCTTAAAACAAAAGGCAGCTACCCATAGGAACATGGAAACAGGGTTTGCTTGTAATCCTTCTGCCTTTTTACAGATTTTTTTATTTGAGAATGTTCCCGCTAAGACGTCTAATAACTGCCATAATCCTGCTGTTGTGTATTTATATCCGAAGTGTCTCCCTAAATAGGTATTCATGCTAAATAAAAGACGATCGCACTGAAAATGATCAAGTGAACTCTCCATAACAGCAATGTTCTAAAGTCGGATCTATAGTGTATCTTGGGAGTTTTTTCAAAGTAAAAGCATGAGATGTTTGCTTACATTATACGGTGTGATTGTATCTCCAAGGATATCTGTAAGGAAAGGAAACAGTTTACAAGTTATACTTCCACCAGAGACTTTACGTCAGAAAAAAGATGGGGTGTGAGTTTCTCATACCAATTGAATTTTCCCTGGAACAGAGTTTACATTTCTGCAGCATACTGGCACTGCCTCTTCCTCCTTTTAGTGGCACACTCTCCTGAGGAATAACAAAAAAAACAGGTTGAATACGTGTGCAAAGTTTGCCACACTAAAGGTTAACACATGTACTTACCACTTGGGTTATATACTGCCATTTATCTGGGATCTCTCCGCAGTTTCCACACTTCAGCTGTAACACATACTGTACTGGTTAGTAGTGAATAGTGACAACAAAACTAAATAAACATTTGCCATGTAAATGCGTTCCCATATTTAGTTGTCACGTAGGGTGAAAATGCAATACGTTTACAAAAAGCAGGATAAAGTGTACAACATTCGCGAAAACAGAGGGAAATAAAATACTTAATAATACTATACTAAAGTCTTAAGTGAAGTAGCATGCTAGCTTGACAGCCATCCTACCTTTAGAAACCACCGGAAGTCGTCGCCCAATGGTTTCACATTGGTGACATTCTCCAAAGTGGCTTTGAACTGGAGTCCAAATTTCTGTAACGAGAGACAAATAGTTTGAAATCCAGTAATATTAGCTAAATTGTTTAATTGTTTACATCTGAAGCATGCTACGGTGACACATACCACCATCTTGGATCTCCCCTACTGCCGTCTTCAGGTACCCCTCGTAAATTCTGGCTTCTGAGTCAAAAAGGAACGAGTTTATTTGTTTGATGGTGTTGGCTTTTGGGATGAATACAAAGTAGTGAATGAAAATAGTAACGTGTCCACGGCTGTTTTGTTCTAGAAGTCGAGTAGCATAGCGTTGCCTTGGCAAAAATGTAGCAGAAAAATAATATAGAAAACGTTCACCGTACTTACATTACGTGCAATTTATTTATTTGTATTAGAATAACTCATTTGTCATATAATACCGCATACAGTACGTCAACCATGAGTTTTTGCTAAGCCTAGCTTGTCGGGTATTGTTTTCAGGTTGTTTTTAGTTATATGGGACGATAACCACCATCCAAATACTCACATATCCGTTAGCACTTAAAGGGACCTTTACTCTAATAGCCTATTGCGCCCTCTAGTGGACACTGACGCTCAATTACCTACTATGCAACATACTGTATTTCAATATGATTTCAATAAGAATGTTCCTTTGTTCGCATGTACACCAGTGATGCGTTCACACGTGTATGAAAATCTCATGAACGCATCTGATACAAAATAATCCCACGTTTCAGACAAGGAAATTCGGCTGCATCAGTTTATTGAACACCAAGCAATCTGTCACAATTCATTAAAAAAAACGTGACAATGCAACAGCCATACAGTACAAATCTCATGGTACAAATCAGTCATTCAATTACACCATACACAACAAATACAGCACATGGAATACAAAATTGATTCAACAGTTTTTTTTTATTTATTGTATCTTTAACTTAAAGAATGGAAACTGGCCCCTACTGTGGATACTTGCTGTACATATTAACCTGAGGCAATGCGGTAGGTCTTGGTGGTTAATGGCCATACACTGGGGGAAACTAATATAGCTGTGGCACCGAACACCTTTGTCTGGCATTTTAATATCATGATGGTATTCCTAACCAGAGTATATATTTCATATCATAATCTTGCAGGCTTTTTTTTGCCATGTGATAGCTAGAAAAACCAGCAAAAAAAATAGGGACTTCATAGAGGAATTCACATATCTACATTTTTGTAATAGTTCATTTAATCTCACTCTCAAAATAAGTGTTTCTTTGCTTTCTTTTGATTGGGATATATATCAATATTTTCATTAAGAGTGTAACAATACCCGCAACACTAGACTGGGTTGATACAGTAGTCAGCTGATCCTTCCAGCCTTAGGCTTCATTGGTCTGGTGATCACATTAATCCGCACATGAGAATCAGTACTAAAAACAATCCTGTAGTGTGTAGTCAGTGATGGACACTTTGTAGTAAACAGACCTCTTGAATAACACATCTTTAACACTGAAGAAAAGGGTTGGAAAGACACCCATAGATTGTCAGTACAAATACACATTGCAATCCTGGTTTTCTTCAACTCTTCTTCAAATCCTTATCGTTTGGAACACACCCAAACATTTATCAGACTCGCGCTGGCATTACGGCTTCAAGTTTTATCAGTCATTACAAAAAAAAGGGAAAAAAAAGGGGTTCCCCTCTTTTATTCATTAGCGGCATGAAACTCCATGGAGCAGCGGGGATACATAAAAAAAACAAAAAGCAACCTGGGAGGAAAATGCATGAGGTCATTTAAACCCATCACAACAACTTGTTTTAAACCTCCTGAAAAAAATTAACAATTAAAATGAAGGTAACCAATAACATGAGTAGTCATTATTATAATAATAATAATAATAATAATAATAATAATAATAATAATAGGCATTTCAATTCTTTTTGCATTTCTTTTTTTTCCTCTCTTAAATACAGTGATGCCGACAGGCATTATTTACAGGCAGCTCCCACACCCCTCTCCGCCCTGTGAGAGAGGTGCCACGACGTCAATGAGGCCGGCTGCTGGACTCCGAGGTCCGCCGCTGACGGGGGGCAACGTGGCCGTTCGTGCAGCCGTTGTGGCGCTTGCTTGGTCCGCCGTTCATAATGTCTTGGATGTGCTGTACTATCAAGTTGATGGCGACTGCAGGGAATGAGGAAGAGAGAGATGGTTAGAAATCTTGGAAAATGTCCTCAACCGATTCATCACAATGGACAGTAATAAAGAATATATCAAAATGGATGCAGAAATAAGTATGCAACCAACTAGCTGACAGTTTGGCCAGAGACCTGGGATTTATGGTAATGCAGTGATGATGTATTTGTGTAGGGCGGCCTGGAAGTAAGCATCGCTACCTTGACACAAAGAGGGATTTTTTTTTAATGTTTTCCCCAAATATAGCAGAAATTAAAGCCTCTTGAAAACTCACGATTACGATACTGGCACGTTTAGTTCAGCAGGATAATCTGCACATATTAACGCCACGGTTATGATATTGAAGCGTTAATGCAATCGCCATAAGTAAATAGCTTGCGTAAGGCTATATACGAACTACACTACACTTGTTAGCAAGTCCCGTGTGAAGACGCGTAAAAACGTCAGCCATTCTCGAGTCATGTATTTTCTGACGTATTGTATGCTGTAGAATAAATTGTAAATTTTCCCTTGATATGAGGAAAGCCAGAAGTTCTAAATCGCCAACTCATTTCCGGGTTTAAGGACTCATTCCTGCACCACCCTGTAGCAGCTAATGTAGCCTCCAAATCACCAGATTTACCCCATCATTTTTAAACTAGTCTTTAAACACAACTGATGTTTATTTAACTCTACACGGTTGTAAACTGACTTTGATGTGCTAAATCTGTGGAAATCCTCTTATCCACCAATAGGAGCCTGATCAACGCGAAGGCAGTGTCGATGTACTGTAGAATACAAATCCATACCAAGGTTATCTGCTCCTCGTGGAATAATCACATCTGCATACTTCTTTGTCTGTGAGAAATAGAGAAAGAGAAAACATGTTTCTAACAGTTGTATACTGCACGACGGAAGACTGACATTTGGGAGTCATTTATTTCGTAAGTAGTTGTTCATTAATAACACAAAATATATACAAACATTTTTGATAGAATTCGTAAAGGACACTTGAATTATATTTATTTAAGCAATCAGTGCTCCCTGGTGGACTCACAACGTATTTTGACATTTTCTTAATTACCTCAAATACATCTTTGGCTTTTCTGTGCTGTCATTTCTTGTTTTACATGGGATGAAATACATTAAAACCAACATAAAACTTGAAGCTAATATTGGCTAGTAATGTTTGGCATCCCAGTGTATCAGTGAGGCTCTACTCCAAAAACGAAAGGCGCTTGTAAGGCCGGCACATCACTTACTGGTAAACAGAACTCCTCAAAGGCCGGTTTCACAAAGGTGATGTACTGAGCCAGCACCTGCTCCAGCTCCCTGCCACGCTCACTGATGTCTCGGAGAACTGAAACAGAGAATATCACACACAAATATGAATACAAGGCATTCAATGCAATAACTGAAAAGGAAGGAGGGTGCTCTTCTCAAAACTACACACCTCTGCGAGAGAGCCGTGTGTCTGGATCCGTGTCGACAAACAGCTTCATCTGGAACAGATCTCTGATCTCCTGAGAGTAGAACATGAGGATGCCCTCGAACAGCACCACATCAGCCGGGTACACCGTGATGAACTCCTCTTTCCTGGAACAACACAAACATGGAAGAGATTCCCTCATGTCCGTCAGCGACTACACTTGGACTGGTGCCAATATTAACCGATTACACGTTCAAGTTACATATTTACCCCACTGGTATGATAATTGAAGCGTTAATGCAACCACCATAAGTAAATAGCTGGCGTAAGGCTATATACAAACGACATGATGGTTGCATGACTTCACGTCAGCAACGCTAAGCTAAAGGTGGCTAATGTTCAGCGTGATTCATTTTAGTAGTCTTATTTAAGCTTTTGTTAGCCACAGACCTTATTTCAATTCAAAACAAGGGACGTCAGTAGTGCTAAAGGCCGACTCTTTCCCGGGTTTTAAACACAACACACACCACAAAGTTATTCAGGAGCCAGTTCTTGTGTATCTCCTGTGAGGCGCTTACCTGGAATGATGAACAAAGTCATACAATGGGATCTGGACCGTCTCCCCCTGCAGGATCTTCCTGAGTGTTTGCATTATGAGCTCACTGTCAAAGGCATCTGAGAAAAAAGGAAAAGACAAACTATCAGCTTGGATGTTCATATGGTCGTATTACTTAGTCCTAGTCCTTGTGTGCGCTTATGGACATGTGCGACCCCGCGCTGCATGTTTAGTAAGCGAGGAATCCATTTCCTGTAACAGGTGTTGGGTTCAGTCTGTGAGCCGTACAGCAGCTGTCTCGGAGAAAGGCCTGCTGACTGCTGGGATTTAAAACCAGCTGAGAAAGGAAGCAGGAGCGTGAGGGGGCAAAGTTGGGCACCAAAAATGGAGTCAGTGCATCTGCCAAAAACACGCTGGAAGAAATGCTGCTGCACACAAGCCCAATTGTTGTATGAATAAGCAATTAAATGTCACCGTAGCCTCATTTTAAAAAAATCCGTTACGCTTAAACAGCCTCAGCTGTTACTTATTGCAAAAATTATTGCATTTACATACAAAACTAATTTGGTAGAAGTCTGAATCTGGTCTCAAATTGTTTAAAAAGTACTTGAGGCAACTGCAAACTGTGATAAGGAGAGCAAACATGTGCATGCTGCGGGCCGGTGGAGGTGATATACTCTAGAGAAGTGCATTAGCTGCTTCACCATATCCAGTGTGGGCATACCTGGGTGATCGAAGTTGAACTGGCCCTTCAGTGCCTTTGCCTTCTGCTCCGGGGTCAGCACCTTGTAGAAGCTGTCCTGGCTGAGGATGGCCACCTGCCTCTGGTGATGGTCGATCTTGTTCTGGCCCAGCAGCTCCATGATCTTCTCACATACTGACGACTGCGGAAACAGATAACGATAAGTGACCACCCCATGTTTGGCCCCGCTGACCTACACAACTAAATGTATCTCATACCCAATGCTGACTGGGCAGATCCACGGGGCTCTGTTGTCTTTGTCTCCGTTAAAATACAATGAATTTGGACGCAGCCACTTTAGAGCTGGGTGGTTGTTTTATTTGCAACATTTCACAGGACGTGGCATCAAAGGGTCAATTCTCTGACTGATAATCAGTCCATATCTAATCTTGATCCAATAGAGTGGTGCAGTGATGGCGTATTTTAGTAGGGCGACTCGAAAAGTTAGCAAACACTCCATGATACTTAGACTTCATACAATACCTTAGACGTTTGTTTATCTGGATTATATCCACATATAAACTACTTTTAAGACTGCATCACGGTTGCATGACTTCATGTCACCACTCCTAAGCTAAAGGCGGACTCTTGTTCAGCTTGGTGTTTAAAGGTCTCATTTAGCCACTTGTTAGCTGTCGCTAATGTGGAAAAGGCTTACTTATTTCCAGGTTCTGGGACTCATTCCTGCACCACTAAGGCCATAACTGTAATTAAGAAGATGTCATAAACATCAAATAATTGCTTTCATTTTAGCAAAGTCACTTTATAGCTGGTCATTTATTTTACATGGCACTTTTTAAAAAGGAACAGTTAAATGTTCAATACCGATGGAGCACAAATAAAAGCTTTTCTGTGATAACTGAGCATCAGTTAGAGGGCGGATGAAAGTGCTGAATCTGCCCTCCTCTCTTTCCATGCATACTGTGCTGGAGTCTGCTTACAGACCAGGAAGCACAAGCTGGCATCGTCCAATCAATGAGCAGTCACCTTACCAAGTAAGGCTGGTCCTGTCTGGCGTCATATCACTACAGTCACTCCTTCCTCCAGTCCCTTGTGTGGGGCTATCAGGAAGTATATATATATATATATATATATATATATACACACAGTCTATGGGAAGCACAACACAGGCCCGCTGCCAGCATGCTGGTATCTGGGACAAAGTTGGGAGGCGGGGCTTCGGCCCCTCTTGTCTCATTCTGTATTGTAGGCTACCTAGATCTCTCACAGTAAGACCCTACAGCCACTAACAGTCGGGATAAGACACTTTAGTTTCTGTTGCAGTTTGGTTGTGTCAAGCTTATCAATTCAACTGGTGTCTTTTGATAACACGAGGTCCCTTTTTCACAGCTGTCAGGCCAGATATACTCCACCCGGTTCATAACAAAGGAAAACAATGACGTATTCGATAAAAATCCACGTCTGTGTTCTCACTGGAACAAGAAGGACGTCAGTGCTACCGTAAGTTCAGCACTATTGCGCAAATCAAAATAAAATGAACTTGCTCTTTCAAATAACGTTGAATTTATGAAGAAGTTGATCTTGAATAATTACATTTTACAGAACTCAAATCTACGGTTCAAAGTCAGATTTTCTGTATACGGTTAGAGTATACAAGACACAAGACAAAGGACGTGGGCGCATTGAGGGAAATGTTTAGAGATGGCATTTCCCGCAAGCGCCTGTGTTATGATTCATTACACTAACATCTATAACGGTGTTACACGTAAGCGGTTATTCCAGGTCACTCGAACTTAAAAACACAATTAACGCTACTTGTACATGTATCTGATCAATGGTACACACTACACAGTGTTATCATAAAGATGTCCTCGACATTCATTAGTGTGGTTCAAAATGTGTACGAACAGTTCTAACAGCATGGAGAATAGGGCTAGCAGTAGCTATTGTTTCACGTTAGCACAACCAGTAATGCTAGAATGTGATGGAATTCAGCTAATGTTAGACAGCTAAGTGGGCTAACAGTGTTTCTACGTAGTTTAAATTGACCGCCCACCCAGTACAAAAGGGAAAATGAACAAACACGAAATCAATTAAAGCAGCCGGTTTACAGACATGAGTGCGAGAGGTACAAGCACACGATGGCTAAATAGATGAGAGACCTGTCAATCAAATCTCAACGTCGCGTTGCTTTGACCACGCGGCCAACTAGCCACCGGCTGCGGCTAACCTCTGGCTGTGATTTAGCTCAAAACGGAACCCTGACAATTCTCAAAAACCGTCAATTTAGCTAGCTAGGATGCCAACCTTGCCACTGGCGGTGCCTCCAGATACACCGATGAGAAAAGGTTGTCGGATAACGTCGGTTTTCTCGCCACGGTCCCTAAGATGTGTTTCACTGTCCCCGGCCATGCTTGCAGTGTACAGTCAGAGCTGCTGTGCTGGAAGATCATTGAAGTAGAGCTCCTCCCACAGCATCAACATTCACTTTATTTATCCGCTTTTTCGTTTCTAAGTTAATTTATTTACATGTATTTTTTTATTTAAAGGGTCAACTGTGATCTACGTTGTTCATATTCGACTTAAAATATACATTTATAGACATTATCTGCATTTTTCTTTTTTGTGATTGGCAGTGAAAATAACCAATCGTCAGCCCTCATCAACCAATGGCACTCCCAGCAACGGTCGTATTAGTTGCTCCTCCCCCTTGTAGCTCATCAGAAAAATAACTAACACATAAACCGTTATTTAGATACATCAACTTAAAGTACGCGTGGGAAGAAGCCTGTAGGTAAGTTTGACAATCCTTACATATATTCGTGAAACGTTGTGAATGACAAACAATACAAAACGAGAAAAAAGTAGCTTGCTTGTTACAGAATCACTTGCTGAAGCTAATGTTTAACTACTGAAGTAAAACAGCTTTTGACGTTTCCCAATGTGGTCGGGTTTGCTTTAGATAAGGGAAATGTCTGCATAGCATTTACACATAGAATGTATATGTTTCAGTTATCGGCTAAACTTGGAGCAACAGAGCCATTTTTGAGCATGCTCCATAGGCTCGCTACGTCTCTGCAGCGGCCGGCTGTCCCTCCCTTCGCGGCCGCTGTACGGTGCCTTTCTTCGGGATCAGTGGTGATCAAGGTCCCGCTAAACTTCTGGGCAGGGAAACGACGGACGAGCCAAGAGAAATGCAACAAGGAAAATGTTTACGAACCTGCAACAGGTGAGACACACAATTATTTGATATTCTATTCAGATCAAAAGTACTCTAGTGTGATTATTAACATGCCTATTCTTAAAAAGCCACACATGGCACCTTTGTTGTGCAACCAGTTGAATGGTCACTGACCCTGAGCAGTGTCAGTGGAGCAGAGAAAAAGTTCCCGCTTCCTGGCTATTAAACATAACTTCGTTATTACACAGCAGAGACTTGTTGATTTAAATGCTACTTAAAATGGGTTTCTCTGTCAACCTGTCAGCCACATTCAGCTGGATCATTTCCTTCTTAGCTTGTTTAGGACAACACACCTCAAAATAAGGAAAGGTACTGATTGATTGTCAGCCTTTTATTGCATTAACTTCATGTCTTTGTTTTTAAAAACCTAGTTATAGATTAGTTTAGATTAGATATACTTTATTGATCCTAAATTGGAACTTGTGTTGACGCAGCAGCATGTTTACAATGCATTGCAAATAAGTTTAAGAAATAAGCAAAAAGGACAACATCTAAAATAAACATAATCAGTTACTATATACATATCAACAGTAGAAATATAAATACCTATAGAGTATCTGTATAAAACCCAATTTAAAACCAACTGAATAAGTTAGAATTCACTGTAAAAAGTGCTCTGCTAGAATGCTGTCTGGCTGGGTTTCTTGTTTTAATTCAGATGTCGTGACTCCATTTGAGCACAGCTTGCGTGCAGCCCACTCATCAGGCGGAATGGTGCTCCTTATTTTGCCTCTCATTGGAAAAGACAGTGTAAAAACTAAGCTGTATTCTCAGTGCGTTACATCCTGTGGTGTCCAGGCCTAAACTTAATTTCCTTATATTAAAGGATGGCTGAACCAGTGCATACTATGTGAACAAGTCATGGCCTAACAAAGTAGAAAATGCTATTTAATTTACAACCTGTGTACTTAACTGTTATTACCATCTCGTGTCTCACTTTGCAGGGCGAGTCCTGTGCCCTTTGGAGCCGTGTGGTGCGGCGGAGGTCAATCAGGCTGTGGAGGCTGCCAAGTCTGCCTTTGGTCATTGGAGCAAAATGTCTGGGATGGAGAGGGCGAAGATCATGATAGAAGCTGCTCACATCATTGAGGTGTTTTTCTTAATTTATTTTCTCCAAATTATTATTATTCAGTCTCTGCTACTAGAATATGTACATTTACCCGGATGACATAAGAACTGTTGCAGAGAGAAGGGCTGCATAATGAATTAACATGTTATCGTCATCGCCATATGGACTAGTGCAATATTCAAGTCGCAGGAAGGAGAATATCTGTTAAAATATTATTTATTTAATGCAGTATTTTTTTATTGCAGAGATATCCCAGCCTATGAATAGTATTCTATCAGACTTAATAAAACATTTATTTGCTACAGAGCCTCTTACAAAATCACATTTTACTCATTTTTTTTAAATGAAAAGACGTAGAAAAAAAATGTAGTCCCTCCCATACCTCCCATACATATTCTTTAAATCATGCAGTCCTAACAGAGAGTATTTTGACTGTAGGTCAAATGTGGTTCCCTAAAAGGTCACAGAGTGCCTGTACTTGATGAAGAAAGAGTGGCCTGTTTTGTAACTCCAGTTATGGATCTGAGCTGTTTGATTACACAAACACGATGTGTAACACTTACCCTGGATTTCATGCACAGCGCAGGAGAGAGGAGATAGCTGAAATTGAAGTAGTCAACAACGGAAAGTCCATCACAGAGGCTCGTCTGGATGTGGATTCGGCCAGACTGTGTATAGAGTACTATGCAGCGCTGGCCACCACTCTGGCAGGTTGGTACAATACAACTCGCTCATTACTTACGTGTTTTCCCACTTTCGATCAGAATCAGGTTTATTGCCCAGTAGGGTTTACTCATGTAAATAATTTACATATAGTCCAGTTGCCAGCTTAGTGAACAAGGAAATGTTGAGTACACCAACGTTTTATAATAGAAATGTATATTACGGTTCCCCAGCACATAGAAACTGCTGGATGTTAACCTGCATATGTTGGGCAATTTGCACAGTTAGCATAATTTGCGTTAATTGAAATGAATGGCATTATAGCCTATGTAAACAATAGTTTAAAAAATGACTTGGCGGATTTGTACAATTTTGGATTGGTTTTGGGTGTTATTGAGAATGCCGAATCCATGTCTGACATTTTCAGGATAAAACATTACAGTGTTCACCATAAAGTGGCCATATTAGTACTCTCAGTGGGCTGATTTTGACTACCATGAGTAGTGTTGCGAGCATTGGATATAGAGAGCACAAGATACAAATTATTATCTCTACTCTGGACAACTTTTCTTCGAATCAATAGGCAATCTTTCCAATACAAATGATCCAGAGTCCTCTAAATCTTTAAATCCGACCCAAAAAGGCTAAAATAGTCATTCCTGCTTATAAATTCAACTTATGCCTATTGTTTAAATTGCCCAACATATGCAAGTTAGCATCCGGCAGTTTCTATGTGCTGGGGACCCGTACTATATACTTCTCTCATAAAACCGTTGGGTTCTCAACATTTCCGGGTTCACAACAGGACTCTGAGCTGGCAGCTAGGAGGAATTAAGTTGAAAAATGATTATAAAAAATAAATGTTTACAATAAATATAAATATACAAAAATGGAAGGACAATAAGAATAGGAACATTTACTCTTAGAATCAAAATATGTGCCGTATATCAGTTTAAAAAGTGGAAGGTCTCGAAACCAATATAGTAGCTAATAAACAGAAAGACATTTTACTCAATATCTAACTATATAATCACTTAGTGGAAAGCCACCAATAAGATGTTGCTGTATGTAGTGAGAAATATTGTGATTAAACTGAAAATGAAATAAAGTGATATGATTTAAGAAACATTAAGCTCAAATGATATCGATTGGTTAAAAAAAATCTAAATATTTTAGGTTTATTGGTGTAATATATCACTACCAAAAAAAAGGAGAGATCATAAATATTTGTAAACAATTTTTCCACAGAATTCGAACAGACATGATATTGTAGGAGATGGCTCTACACCGTTAATACTTCACAATATACTCCCTGTTGTTATTGTCTATTACACTTTAATAACAAGAACATGATATATTGTACTCAATCAAATCACATTCAACCAAGCTCTTCCTCGCAGGTCTATTGTTAATCACCTCAATTTAGTTTCTGTGAAGTAGTGTAAGAGAACTTGAGGTTATTCCCACATCTAAAGATTTTAAAGTTATGGCCATTCCTACAAAGTTCTCTAAACATTTATTCTGTATGTTTTTGTATCTTCTGAAACATAATATCTGACCCCAACAAAAATAGTCAATCAAAACTGGAATTCAACTGAAACATAATCAAAATGTTAGCACAACAATACAAATTGAAAATATGAAACTACTAACACCGTTACTGTGATATGACTTAGTTGTCAGATCTATTTAACATCACTCAACCTGAACCCTGAGAAGTACTGCTGTCATATTGTATGTGTTGATAAGAGAAAATGCTTAGGCAACACATTCCAATGTACGCGCCCCTTTGAAACGTGAATCCTAAAAATGTCACCTATATTCCGTGTCTCAAGGCCAGCATGTGCAGTTGCCTGGGGGATCGTTCGCCTACACCCGCAGGGAGCCTCTGGGCGTCTGCGTCGGCATCGGGGCCTGGAACTATCCTTTCCAGATCGCTGCCTGGAAATCTGCTCCAGCCCTGGCCTGTGGTAACGGAGACTATTAAAGCTCTTAGCCATAACAATTAGCTATAGCACAACATGTGTACACCATTCCTTCTGTAAGGTCAACTATGTCTGTTTGTTATTTAGCCTAACGTTAGCTTTTTACTTCTGCCTGTTGCATTAACGCTACAAAAATCATAAACGTGGTGTTAATATGTGAAGAAGATCCCATTGGATAAACCTACAAGTTAAAACATTATAAAGTAATTTATACATTGGACCAAACATCTTCAACACATAGCATACAATCCTTCTTGAATTCTGTGCTATTGGATCAATATTGGAAACGTTTTTCTGTAATTGGTAGTGTTTTTTTTTTTTTTAGATGTGGCTTGTTGGACAAACACTGCTATAACTCACTCATTCAAACATACTCTGCTATTTAAGCCACAGTTACATGTCAGGTTAGGTATGCTAGTTGCACGGAGCAATCCTGAAAAAGGTTCTGGCACTTCACCTATGGATGGCACTACAGCAGGGTCACATTTTAGACGTTTTTATTGGATTACATTTTGGAATTTGCCATTTTGTTTAAGTTTTGGACAGTTTTCAGTGAGTTTTTCCTTGTTGAGTTATAGATTTTCAGAATGGTTTAGTTTGATATATAACAAGTCTTATTTTGTTGTTGTTAGTGTTATGGAAATAATTATCATAGATGCCAATTTGTAACATACAGGACAAACCTTGATGTCTGTTTACCTCCTTTAAGGACACAGGCTGCTTAGCCAATAATGTTATTGTTCCCATTCTGTGACCGGTCAATACTGGGTCACAGATGGTCTGTGTTGTGGGTACACTGGGACACTTCCTTCTCTGTATTTGTGGACTCCAAGGTGAAATCTTCGAGGTCATAAGTGTCCGACGCAAGTAGCTCAGTGTTCCCACACTGTTTAGGCTATCTCCTCAAATATGTTGTTTACTCTCTGCGAAACCAGTTAGATGGGCTGGCAAGAGAGAGGCTCTCCAGAATTGACGTGGCAACTCTACCGTGAAGTCAGAACCTCTGACTCTTGGATTTGTGATGTGAATACTCTGGTACCAACTCCAAATAAATCACAGTGGTTTGACATCAAAGCTCCGACTCTTCCCGTGTCTCCTTCCTGAGTCGGTGACTCCACTGCATGCTACACAGAAGTTTCCTTTACAGTTAGGGCTATGTATAATGTCTACATAGTTGGAAAACTGTGAGCAACCACATTAATTCCCTTTCACTACCACACTCAGTTGTTTAACATTAGACCTGAGCTGAATTGTTAAATGACATTTGATCTGCTATAATATTTAAATCATGTTCTTGTTATTTTAGTTTCTTCTTGTGTAGTATCGCAGCATTTCTCATGAATGTCAAGAATCCTGGGGCTTTTTCATAGAGCTTTGTTGTACAAAGAGTTGTTCTCACTGACGAGGTTCTACGAAATGTCCCCTTACAGTGAAGACTACATCCTGGTAAAGACAAGCCTGATTTATAAAGCATCTCAAACCTCTATGGCATGCTGCAAACAAACAACCCTTTTGGACCTTACACCACCCCTCTCATTTTTTTGTATAAATCAAAATATATCACAAGCCATGGCTGTGTGTGTGGGCGTAACCTTTTGTCAGCAGACATTTCAGGAAGCACAGCTGCACAGGACACAGCGCCACCAATGGCCTTGACAAATGTTTATTTTTAACATGTCTAAATTGATATAACTTTATATAAAACATATGTGCATGAATATGTGAAGAAGTACATTTGATTGGATTTGTTCTCAATATCAGTCGCTGCCTTTTCTCACTGTTCAAATCTTGTGTCTGTCATTTAAAACAGGCAACTCCATGGTGTTCAAGCCCTCCCCGGTGACCCCTGTGACGGCGGTCCTGCTGGCAGAGATCTACGCCATGGCCGGAGCTCCAGAGGGGCTGTACAACGTGGTGCAGGGCGGCCAGGAGACCGGCAGCCTGCTCTGCCACCACCCTGATGTAGCTAAGGTGTCCTTCACCGGGAGCGTGCCCACAGGAAAGAAGGTCAGTGTTTTATACACGGTGGAACTGAAAGTCCTACTATTATCTTTCATGTCTCCGTCTTCATTATATCTAGCCTGTTCTAAATCAATCCTTAGACTGATTAAAGAGCTCTATTGTGTTTTTGTGGGGTTTCCCTTTCCTGTAGTGGTCAGCTAAAATCCAACAGTTTCTCCCCAGAGGGACTTTCTCTCCCCACACCCCCCCCCCTGCCTGAAACGCCTCCATTGGACTCCTTTGTTTACTTCTGTAACATAGGAACAACCCTACGTAACACTCCAACACAGTGTACGTGGGACATCTCTAAGTGGTTAACTAATCACAACAGAGCCGGCTAGCTAACCAATCAGAGCAGACTGGGCTCTGGTTTCAGACAGAGGGTGAAAAGAGGTGCTGCAACACAGGCAGTATGAGAAAAAAAGAGCTTTTTGAACATTAAAGCATGGAGACATGTCACAGTAGAGACACAGAGGACACATGATCCTGAAAATGAGTAGAATAGGCTCCTCTAAGTTTTGTTTAGCTTGTAATGTTCCTGTACGATACATGACCTCTCCAAATCCCGATGTGTTAGTAATATATATTGTACATTTTGTATGTTTAGCGTCCCCTACTTTAAGCCTTGGATAGTTTATCGGGGTGTCATTTCACATATCTCCATTATGTCTTATTTTTGCACTTTTTTTAAACAGTTTGACAATAAAATGAATTGAATTGTCAACTTTGTATTGCTTTTATCAGCATGATATATTGAATAAAAACATCCTGGTACATACAGGTAATAAATGGGAATATGAATTGTTTGTATTATAATTCGATAACACAGATTATGGAGATGGCATCCAAGGGAGTAAAGCACGTGACTCTGGAGCTGGGGGGGAAATCTCCTCTGCTCATCTTTCAGGACAGTGATGTGGAGAACGCTGTGAAGGGAGCGCTCATGGCCAACTTCCTGTCTCAAGGCCAGGTAAATAGTGTGTTTGAATGTTGTATGTTCATGTCCAATCTGCGCATGGAAGCATACTTGATTTAATGAAATGTATCACAGGTCTGCAGCAACGGGACGCGGGTGTTTGTTCATAAGGACATTCTGCCAGAGTTTGTGGAGGAGGTGGTGAAGAGGACCCGGGCGATCGAGATAGGAGACCCGCTGTTGGAGAGCACCAGGATGGGAGCCCTGGTCAGCAGGTCACACCTGGAGAGAGTCCTGTCCTTTGTTGACCAGGCAAAGAAAGAGGTAAGGCTTGTCCTCATAGGCTCGTGTGAAGCGAGTACAATTTTGATATCCTTGACGTTAATCGTACCGTTTCCAGGGAGCTACGGTGCTGTGCGGAGGTGAACCCTTTGTCCCATCAGATCCTAAACTCAGAGGAGGATACTACATGACTCCATGTGTATTGGGTAAGACTTCTGTCAATTCCTCCATGATGTAATGCATTCAGAAGATCTCTGAAAGTGTGGCGCACTATTTTACTACTCTCCCAATTTTGGAGATGTAATTTAAAAGTATGTTGTCAGGAGTCAAAGGGGATTCATTACTATCTGAATGCAGTTTAGGTGACATCAGTGTTTGTGCTTTCTTCAGAGGTGGGAGTAGAACTCAGACCTTTTACTTAAGTAAAAGTACAAGAGTGTAGGAATACTCTATTACAAGTAAAAGTCCTGCAATTAAAATCTTACTTCAGTAAAAGTACAAAAGTATTAGCATCAAGATACTCAAGGTACCAAAAGTAAAAGTTCTCATTATGCAGATTGGCCCATTTTAGAATAATATATATTATATATAAAAGTAAAAGTTTGGATTATAATTGTTGATTGTTAATTGTTTTTAAAGCTGGTAAAGGTTCTCCATCTTCTCTTTTGCTGTAACAATGTACATTTCCCCTCTGTGGGACAAACAAAGGTATTCTGATTCTGATACTTAAAGGTCCCATGTCATGCTTGTCCGGTTATTACCCGTCCCCTTGTGTGTTATGTAGCTTTTTCTGCATGTAAACGGTCTGCAGAGTCACAAACCCTCAAAGTACACCCTGTAGCGAGTACAACTCTAACACAGAAAATACCTGTCTGTGCTGCCCCAGAACGCCTCGTTGGACATTTATCTTTTTCCATTTTCTTCTTCCTGGTCATAGTGACGTAACGGTCATAGTGACGTAACGCTGCGGAGCTACGCGGAATCTGCGGAGCTCCACACACACTCACTCAGCCTTATCTTTTCTCAGCCGCGGTGCAGCGCGGAGCTCCGTACACACACACACGGAGCTTAGGCTGTGAGTGTGTGTGCTCAGGCTGAGTTCTGCAGTGTCTCGCAGACCCCACGCAGCAACCAGGAAACGACACCAGTAATCCAGCTCACACTGTCCACTCCTCGAGCCTCAAAGGGCGGAGCAGCGAGCCTCGCAACGTCCTGCCAACACTGCACCCAGAGTAGACCCCACGCAGCATTCTCATCTGTTTGTCATTACTGGTGTCATTTTCTGGTTGCTAACAAACGCCATTGTAACACATACACACACATCAGAGCACAGTGGGCTCACAGGGAGGGGGGGGGGCAGGAGCTCCAACAAGGCGTTTGGGACAGAGAGTGAATACACATACAGAGATGCTGTTTGAGAAACCAATGTGAGTTTGGAACATTGAACAATGTAAATCTATTCTAGTAGACCTCAACAATGGAATTATGATCAGTAGAAATAGCCATGTCATGGGACCTTTAACTACAGTACTTGAATAAATGTACTTAGTTACTTTACACCATTGGCTTTCTCTTTGTCCTCGTTAAGGTAACTGCACGGATGAGATGACCTGCGTGAAGGAGGAGATCTTCGGTCCTGTCATGTCCGTGTTGTCTTTTGAAAGTGAAGAGGAGGTGCTGCTGAGAGCCAACGACACCGACTTGGGACTGGCTGCAGGAGTTTTCACCAGGTGGGTGTGGTGACACATTCAGGGCAATCTCGCAGGCTAGTAAATTCGATTTTTGAAAAAGTGGTGTTGGTGAAGTATGAGCCGCATCTTTTGAGATTTTATTTTAGGCAAAACAGAAATATCCTATAACAAATGTGTTAAATACAATACAGTAACATCTCATCATATTATTGCAATATATTTGCAGACGTATTGATCATAGGTCAAAACAAGACAGCAGTGTAGCGCTGTAGTTCCCATCCCATCTTTTCTTTAAGAAAATGTTTAAATGGTTATTATCTTTAACTTTTCTGAACAATTAAGGTCGAAAGAAGCAATATTAGGAGTGAAGGGACAAAAAAGTCAAATTGAACTATTGATAGACCACAAAGGCTTGGGTAAATAGTGGTTAAAATCAACACAACTGAATAGGGATTGTTTTGAACCTTTAGATTTTGTCTCTTTATGTTCCTGTAGTGATGTGAAGCGAGCCCATCGTGTGGTGGAACACCTGAAGGCTGGTTCCTGTTTCATCAACAACTACAACATCACCCCTGTGGAGGTGCCCTTCGGAGGCTTCAAAATGTCAGGTACAGACCGTAGGCTGTGTAGAGTGTTGCAGTGATGACCTGTTGTTGTAGTCAAATCAGGAAGTTAGCATCGCAGGAGCTCCCTCGACAAAAGCAGTGGGATTTAATATTAGAATTCTCAAATACTGCAGAAACTAAGCTATGTGGCAAACACACGTTTATGATACTCACACAATTTGTTCAGCAGGAAACTTCACATTTTAACACCACTATAAACAACACAATCAGAAGGCTGCGCATCGCCACTGCTAAGCTAATGTTCAGCGTGATGATGTTTGGCAGGGTTGCCAACTCTCACGCATCTGGCGTGTGACACACGCTTTCACTCTCAATCTCACGCTCTCACGCTGCCAAAACTATTCTCACGCCAAAACAAGAATACCGAAGACTAGAAACGGTTTTGAAAACTGTTGTCACGCAGTGATCGTCTTCTCAATAGAACATCTCCGTCCTCCGTGTTTTATTCTTATAGAAGTAAGAAGAGAAGTAATGGGGCAGAAACTCTCCTTTTTACGCAGCGGTCCAGACATAGACATCAAACGGCGACACATATTCAGTTGCTAGTTACTTTGGCATTAGGGCAGGGATATCTAGATACTTCCCAAGGTCTGACATCATGAAGTGTGCTACTTTTAAAGCAAGCAACGATGTTTTCAAATCTGTAATCAAAAAGCTCCTCAAAAACACTATCAAAGCAGTTCCTGCCGTTGCTACGTTAGTTCAAACAGTAACAACGGACTACTTTTCTTAGCGGTTGCATGTCAATTTAAATCAATACATAAAACTATTTTTTAAATCAATAAAATCATTTTCTAAATCCATAAAAGCATTTCAATTAATATTGGGAGTCATGTCGTTACTTTGTTGAGAATGTGGCCATGTGTAATAAGCGGGATAATGTGCACATTGCACATTGCATAATGTGCCTTCAAGCCGATCTAAATCCCTCCGCAAAAAAAAACGGCTCGTTCGCGGGCGAGAGCCGGCTCCCGTCGTTCACTTAAAAGAGCCGGCTCTTTGAGCCGGCTCGTTCGCGACCGACACATCACTATGTAGTACATCTCTATATACATCGATACAACATTACGTGTTGATAGAAATCAACACGTAATGAAATAAGACCCCACGGTTTGATGATTGATAGGTGTGTGGGCTGTCTTCCATTTTGACACACAGAACAATGGGGGCTATCCACCCTTATCCACCATGTAAGTAATTCACACAGCCTCTTCCCTCTTCTCTTTGTGAGGAGAGAAGGTTCAGCAGGTTCAGCTTCATTTAAATATGTCGTGTAGTAATAGATTTATTTATTGAGAGTACCAGAATGTGTATTTTATGTTAGTATTTCAAAAAATCTCCTCGGGGACAATCCCCCCAGACCCCCCTGCAGGGGTTGGGTTTTCAGCAGGTCAACTCTTTCACCTGTGGGGAAATAGCAGGATTGGCTCCAGGTCGCTCTTTTTATTTACTACAAGACAAATGTTCCTTTTTATTTCATACAGTTCAATTTGGATTGAGACAGGGAAATAATCTAAACCTCACGCGTGGCGTTTCACTGTCAAGGGGGCGATATAGCGTGTATGTAATTACATTGCAAATACTGACTTGAGCCCCACCACTGTATGGGTTAGCCCTACCACAGATTACCCAACAAAAGTACTCCGGAGCCGATAAGTCAATGAATTGCTTATCGCGACAGGCACACAATAAAACAGTGGAAACAAACATGTGTTTGACTTTCATTAGTGAATGAAACTGTGTGCCCTTTGCCCCTTTGTAGTCTGTGTCCAATATTGTGTATTTGTATATATTGTATATCCTATATGCTAAGGTCCCGCTACTGACACGATAGCAGTCATTTCGTGTGCAGATGTGTAATTAAACCCATGATATCAAAATCTCACTCCAGCCAGGTACCCAAAGTTGGCAACCCTGTGTTTGGTCTTATTTAGTCACTTATAAGCCTCCGTTGTTTTTATGACTCATAAAAGCTTAAGAGATTTCCAAATGGGCTATGTATTGATATATTTCATATCATAAAACAAGATGTTAACCACAGAACATATTTCAGGCGTCAAACCAAAAGCAGGTTCAAAAAACGGTTCACTTTTAGGTTGATGAGGTTAGGTGGTAAAATGCTAACTCATTATCAGGTTTTAGGACCTTAGACTGTATACATAAAGGTTAGCACGCAATCACAGGCGATTTTGGTTTTATTGGTATCATTTCAGTGTATAAAAAAACCTTCCCTAAACAAGAGTCGTTAGCTGATTTGATCACTGTGGAGACTACTTCCTTTTCTTTACATTCACCAGGCATAGGGCGGGAGAACGGTCAGGTGACCATTGAACACTACTCCCAGCTGAAGAGTGTGTATGTGGAGATGGGAGATGTGGACAGCCTCTTCTAGGACAGAGACGCATGGAAAGGAAGGTGGAGCTGTAACTGCGACAGAGACTCAAAGTGTGGACCAGTACAAAGCTTCAGGGAAATACCATCAAAGCTTTGTGCTCCTGAAAATGAGCCATTTCTATTTTTCTGAATGTCATCTTAATGTTAAACTGAGGGGAGAGGAACTACAGATAGGGGAATGGGAAAGTGACATCATGAACAGCAAGTCCCTTTAAACTTTAAAGTAGCTGCCTGCTGACTGTATACTGCAAGTGATGATAATTGCTGAACTACAGTATGATTTACAACATGAAATATCACAGTATACGCACATACGTGTACTGGCAGATCAATTATGCATGATAAGTCGACATTTTGTTAGCATAACATTAGCTATCTTACCCGTCTGTGTGACTATAGTTGTCATTGACCCTGTAGGTTTGAAGGTCCAGTATCCCCCCGTTTGTGAACTTGACATGGGCCTCTACATTTTTGATATTTTTAAAATACAGACAGGAGTAGACACCAGCTGTGTTTCTGCCTAAAGCTTCTCTTTGCCCCAGAATGCACCGCGGTTCCCATTCCCTATAGCGGAAATTTGACATTTACATCTAAAGCACATTTCAATTAACATCTGCTCCAAATGGATTCAACTATAGGTCCTCAGTATTTGCTGAAAGATGAATTTTCCGCTTGTTGTGCATACATGTATTGATTTATATGATTTGCACCGTATGTATTCTTGCTAAAAATCCTCTTTAATCCGTATGCAGAATAATATTTCTACTTGAGAACAAATGTTTACAAGTCAAGCTTTATTTCCTCAACAATCATATAAATATATTTTTATACATGCAAAATACAATAATAAATTAAGCTACTTGAACAGGTATTGATTAATAGACTAGATTGTACACTTCAAATATGTCTTTTGTACAAAGTAGTGTAAATTAGAACTTTAATTATGTAAAGAAACTGTCCAACGCATTTTCACATGTAACCAATTGTAACATAACATTAAACAGTGTTAACATTGCAATAAAATGAAGAATTATTTTATGTTTGTGTGTTCATTGCTGACAGCTTATTGTATTGTTTGATGTTGTGGCTAAATCCTCTTCTTCCGCGACAGATTTCTGGTAGCTGCGTTTCTCTAAGATAAAAAAGAGAGTCAAGTTTTCATTGCGTCACATTTTTCGGTAACCTGAATACTTCAATATAATTATGCCTCTGCTAGTTACACTGTACCTTTGCCATGGGTTTTTTAGGTTTCTTGAACTGTGCAGCAGACTCTGTTCAAAGGATAGTCAGCAGTGTTAACGTTTTGATACGTTTGGATACCTTTTTTACAGATTTACAGTTTTGAGAGCAGCGAAGACTTACCATCTTCAGAAGGCAGATCCTCTTCGTCGTATGTTTTCTTAAGAGGGTCCTGTAACCGGTATTAAAAACAATTTAAAGGAACATACAGCTAACAAGAAAAACAACCTTGATGCATGAGATGACTTTAAATGAATACTTCAACCACAAAAACGACCATTGGTCAATGAATTACTCAGTCCCGATAAACTTGAATTCTTGAAGAAAACGTTTTCTCACCTCCAGGGTGAACAAAGATTCAAACAAACCTTGAGGAAGCCTTGATAATTGGGTTTGCATTATGTAAACATATCTATTTAACAAACTCATGCAGAATAATCCAAGTCTCATTTACGAGACGATCAAAAAGTACAATGAATAATGGCTTTACCTGTTCTCCTGTTCCCTGGTCAAACTAAATATGCCTTTGTGGTATTCCAAAGGTATTCACTTGTCAATCATTAAATACCCAGATCACCTGGTGCCTGAATCAGCCCTCAAAATAAAAGCATGAACGCCTACTCAAATTAACTTCACTGAAACGACTCTTTGCAAAACAGAAATCAAATAAAAGTTTGACTATTAAATCATACAAATCAACTAATAGCTCAAACCAACAGTGTCACACTTGGGCAGGCATGCTAATGTTTGTGCATGTCCAAAGTGTTTTAAATAGTAAGGTTTTTGTGAATTGTGCATGAGTTTGGGAAGTAGTGAGCTTACAACCTAATGGGTCTTGGAATATACTGCACTAGTTGATTAGGAGTTTGCGAAATTGGGAGTTTATTCTTTGTATACTATATTTCATCCCGTGGTAGAATTCAAGGTACCACGGGATGATTAACTGATAAACGAATAGTCATTTTGTGCATTTGTTTAACATGAATAAGCTAGATTTAGTTCTTTTTAGGATAAATTACAACAAAAAAGAAGAAAAAGGGAATTTTGTGCCAGTTTACAGTGGGACAAATATATAAGTTAATTCCAGCACTTTAAAAATCCTCCTTCCTGCCCCACCTCGATGGTCTCGCTCTCTGCAGGATGTCTCAGAGAATCCTTCTTGCTGTCCCTCAGGTGATTCCCGTCTTGAAGCTTCTCCAGCCGGCTTTGTTCGGCTGACACGCGCACTAGCAAGGTGTGGAACGCCGTCTGCACCTCACCCACCTTGAAGTGCACGGCCATGCCTTCGAACCACAGGCTATCACATTCGCCCTCTTTGAAGCCTGGGGGCTGGTAGTCGGCCGGGGTGACTTTGAAAGAAGAGCAGATTGAGATGATTCCTATTATCCGAGGTATGACGCTAAGATTCTTATTTATTTGTTTGGGCTGAGACAAAATCTTACTGTCATCATAATAGTAGAGTTTCATGGTGATGTACACGTTGTTGGGGAGGGCTTCCAGGTTTTGCATGAGCAGGAAGAGCTTCCTGATGAGCAGCACTGAGGCTTTTTTGGTGTCCTCCAATGTCACCTGCATCTCCACATCGTTGTTCCTGAGGTTTCATGGAGGTAACCGCGACATCAGTTTGGTCACGTGGAAGCCTTTTCTAACTTATTTACTCAAACATAGAAAGTATAATCCTAACCTGAGTATGTTCATCTCAGGCCCCTTCTCAGTGTATTTATATTTGAACTGGTACGACTCGATAATGCACTGCAAAAGGAGACAAATAAATGTATTTCAATGATGATCAGGCTTCATGCTGGGATCTGACAAAATGGGGTTTGTTTATTTTTTTGTATTTTTAAAATGACTTACATTAGGTTCATCTGGATTGGTGTACACCTATATTGCAATAACATGTACAGAGTTATTGCTCTGTTTTCTTCTTGTAAGCAATGTGTTGTCATTAAATGTTGCTTTATCGATTGACTTACCCCAATGAAAACAACCTGGAGCTGTAGAAAAGGACAACATTGAAAATTAGTAAAAAAATTTAAAAAAAACATATTATACAAATGTAAATTATTCACGGATGCATTAACTTACATACTGCTTCTCTAAAGCATCAAAGCAGCCCATCATCCTGCAAAAAAATTAATAATTAGACCTTCAGTCTAAGTGCTTATTACTTCCTACTTCTTGAGCTAGCTAATGTGGCCAGTACTAATGTTTATTATGGGAGCATTAAGGCAGGAATTTTGTAATTACCATTTCACAACCTTGCTGGCACCTGGAGTGTTGCTGTCTTCACGCAAAACTTTGATGCACAAATCTGTGGGAATGGCAGAATAAAACAGCATGTATTACTTTTTGATGAAGAGCAATGATTACCACCGAGACAATATAAAGTTCAAGGCAATATTGTTATATGCACAATAGCTACACCATAGTTTGGCAATCAAAATCCAGTCCCCAACCCAAAAGTCCTAGGCTCTTCCAGCAATGCAACATACTAGAAACTTAAGACATACAAAGAAATGATAATAGTCAGAGGAGAAATAAAATAGTGCAAGTGACAAAAAGGTTGCAAGTAGAAATAAGTAACATTTGTTGTACAGAGGATTGGAGTATTTTACTCCATATTGTAATACTGTAATATAAATACATATTTGGAGTGCAAACAGATGTACAGTATGTCTTCACATACATCTGTTTAAAGTTTAGATATGTAAGAGCCTTTTATTAAGTTTATACTACTTTACGTGTTGGCTAAAGTCCTAAAAATGTATATTCTTCTCAGATTTTCATGGGTTCACACTCACAGTACAGCTAGGGGTAGCCTACAATTTACACAACAACACACCCATTGAGAGATGAATGCCTGAATTGTCCTTATCTTCCTAAACTTCTAGGCTATTTGAGGGTGTTTAATATTTACCTTCCAAATATCTGGACCTGTAGGCATCTTCTGGAAAGATCCCTCTGAGGTAGGTGATGGAGGACACCGCCACCGCCATCATCCTCTTGACAAAAACGAGAGACTCCTGCTCCGTTTTCAAGTCATTCAGGAACAATCCTATCCACTTTTAAAACATTAAAAGGAACAAATAAAGACGTTAAGTAAATGAGAAAACAGGAGCTAAATTTGACTTGAAGGCCCACACGATGGCGCCGTTGTCTACGTAATATGTCCTCAAGAGCTTACTTAAACATCAAGTTAATGTACACTTATAGATGTACACACTAATTAAAACAAATGGTAAACATGTTACTTTTAGCTTAAATGTGTTGTGGTCAAACCTCGGCAGTTTCCTCCTTGCTCCTGGTGCACATCTTCCCAGCAGCCATTTTCACCTTATCACTATTGCTACTGATTCATTACCTAAGCTAACACTAAACTAACAAGATGAATACACACATTCAATATCAGATAGTGACGCAGACACTTATTAAAGTAATGAAACCTTTCCTCACGGGCTCATTTTTAATATGTTTATGCTATATTGTATTAAAACGCCTATCGGAAGTTTTAACAGGTTAGGATTATGTTAATAAAACACAAAAACGACCTATACATTAGGCAGGATATCTTTGTTTATTTTCCCGCCACTAATCTGCGTGCCGTAAACCAACAGTAGATTGTCGGATTTACTGTACGTAAATGACCGGAAGTAATTTTTACATTGAATTGACTGATGTTAATTGCACATTACACATTACTTTATCTAAGCTAAAACGCCTGTGAAATAAATAAGTATAGGTAATTAATTAATTAATACAAAATTGAAATATTACCCTTTCAAGGCATTCAATCACAGGTGAAAGTGTGTAGGTGCAAATTTAGGTCAAAAATAAGGGAAAGGTAACTCACTGAAATGTCCAACCAGTTACATCAGTTACCAACACTACTCTTAACAGTATAGCAGCAAAAACACCTAATATGTTATAACTGCATTATAAAAGATTCAAAGTTGGTGTTCGAAGAGGTCTTATCAGCGAAATTAAGTAAAAACACCTGTCAAGGGAATGCAGATTTATCTTGAACATAATGATTACTCATTGGCTTCATTCATGGACATACTTAAGCCTCCATATTATAATAGATTGCAGTTTATCTTCCTCCATTTAGTAATCTGTTGGACTATGTGCAGTAATTGTTCACTGAGATTATAGATGTGATAGATTAAAGGAAGTCATACTACCTCAATAAAATACTGTCATTAAGAAAGTGTTTAGGGCATCTTACATGAATACACAAAAACAGCTGACTTATACTAGATATACCATGAAAATATAAAGTAAACATGTTCTTCTCGGAGTGTTATAAACAATATGTTTTTATTTTGATGAAAGAACACTGTAAAAAAAGTACGACATTTAGAGAGGTGCTTGTGGTTTCATTCAAATGAAAATTTGAATGGCAATTTGCATCTAACAACAGTAAGGAAGGATAAGAAAGAACAAGCAGGCATTTTGCTCAGTCTGAAAGTAAAAATAGCATACACTACTAGCACATTGATATACTTTGGTCATAAGTGCACTTTTCACTGTACACACAACATAACACTACAAAAACTGTCACAACGAGTCCTCCACAGGCACAGGGACTGACTTAAATATTGTTTTCACGAAATGTTATCTCTAAATGAAATCTCCTATAGCAGGCTGCAGACTCTGGGCTTGGCCTTTTTACTGTTTGGAGAAGAAGTCTTTGCTTTTCTGGACGTCGGGTTTGATGGTGTCACTTCCTGGTTTCCATCCGGCTGGGCACACTGAAAAGATAAGCCTGTAATGAGTCCTGGCTCGGTAGAAGAAACAGTATGGGAAAAACATGACAAACGTATAATTTAACATCTATTTCCTTCGGATTCAAAGCAAGGAAAAACATCATATTGTTGGCTAGTCTTTCCCCTGTTTGACATACAGTAGGCCTATGTGGAAAATCCTTTCCAAACAAACAACTCTGGATTTATTTGTACTAGAAGTAATACTAATGCACAATATGTAATTTATGCCGCTTGGGGTCCCTCAATCAAAACAATATCCAAAGATGGAGTTGAGTTGTGTCGTGAAGTAGTATGGGATCAGAGGAGTTTGTCATCGCTGTCAATTTTTCCAGTTTGTTTTCTTTTTATTTGTCACTGTTCACAAGGTTATTCTCCAGGAGCCAAATTATCTGCAGAGGTCTACAACTCTCTGAACAAACAGACGCATTGATAAAAAAAAGGCAAAAATGCTGAATAAAGCAGTTTTGCAGTAAAAGACTGTGTTTCTCTTGTGGACACGGTATGGGTGGGCTACAAGCTAACGGCTAACGTTTTGTATTTTTAAGATGTAGCTTAAAACTTGGTAAAAAGTCTATATATATTTTTTAGGACAATGTTGCCAATACTGGAGACAAAATTAAACACTCTGTTATCTTGATTGAAAATACACACATCTCTAGGTTTTAAATTGTTGGAAACATTTGGGGTAATTTAAGTACAAAACTAAACGCGAGCAGTGTGTTTACCCATTTTAATTTTAACATTTTAAATATTTACATTTTAAATGATTAAAATATCCATAAGGGTCATGGAGAGTGAGGTGAGAGTGATTACACCACTCACAAAATATAACATTTCAAGCAATTTTGAAAATGTTTAGTGTCAGAATAGTCAAACTCAAGTTGGATGCTACCATACGTGGTAAAATGCCTCACAGGTGCCACACATTTGCATAATGTAACAGTGCTACCTTACCTTCTCCGTGCTTGTCAGTGAACTGAAAGGCTTGGACCAGGCGCATGGTCTCCTCGACTGAGCGTCCAACAGGCAGGTCGTTGATGGTGATCTGTCTCAGGATGCCCTTGTCGTCAATGATAAACAAACCCCTTAAAGAGAGAAAAAGAGCAGGTTATCAGTCACCAAAAAATGAAGTCCCGTAAAAGAGCATTTTAATGGTTTTGAATTTCATGATATATTCTGAATTTTTGCTATCTCACTCAGCGAGAAACCCCAACTACCACAAAAACGACTTTAAGCAAAATCACAGGTTCATTCTTATGCAGCTCAATCAAGTTTATCACTTGCAGGGGTCATTTCCGATTAGATGCAGAGGTACCCTTTTATAGAATGGCTTTTCCCAACTGACAAAATACTATTCCTATATAAAATGTTACAAAATCAACCAAAAGAGCATTTAACTGCTGTTTTGTAACTGCTGTTCCCTGTGTTTTTGATATGCGTGTATCCATATTGTATTTCTGTTTTGTTTTACTTATAGTGGCATTTAACATTACTATTGCTAAGCAGTCAATGCAGGTATAATAAACCACTATCCCTCTCACAAACACACTGAAATATCACACATATACTAACATACTCTTTTCACAATCATAGTTATTTTATTTTTTACACATTGAATTTAAATGTTATATTTTGTATTATAGCTTGTAAAAATAGTTTGCCATCACAGTTGAATTCTTATAATTGTTTGTATCTTGTGTTCTGTATTACAGTGCTTCCCAACCGGGGGTACGGGGACCCCTAGAACAACTAAAACATTTTTTGTGTACCTTGTACGGCGACCTTGAGAGCCTTCAAAGGCGCCTTTATAAATAAAATGTATTATTATTATTATTTTTATAATCCTGGTGTCCTGAACTATTAAAACTTATGAAATAAAAGCAAGCTCAAGTGTCTTAATTAAAAGCTCTAGTCCTAACAAAAGATGTTGACAGTGCTAGAAGTGAGTCTTAATATTATTATTTTTCTAAATTGATTTTTATTAAGGGTGAGTTATACAAGTGAATTTCATCTAAGGAGCGGTTGGGTTGAATACGATTACAAAGGGTTTAACACAAGAAAAAATATATGTGAATCATCACCGATGAGTGGGGGGGTTCTTAAAGAACAGCTCAAGGGATACACGTTACCAAAGAGAAAGAGGTTGGGAACCACTGCTCAATTACATTCTGAATATTTTTGGGTAAAAGCTTTAAATAAGTTATCTGTTGTGTATTTTTTAAATTGTGCCTAAACAATGAACAATGTTTCCTTGTTTCGAACCTTTTTCAAAGCATATTTAAACTCTGCATTGTAAAACCCACCTGTAGGCAATGCCCTCGTCCTCCTTCAGGACACCGTAATCTGTGGAGATGGTGCGTCGAGTGTCAGACACCAGGGGGATCTTCATGGCACCCAGACCGCCCTGCTTCCGTGGCGTGTTGGTCCTAAGAGGTAAGAAAAAGTGAGGACTTTGCAACAGTGAATCCATCAAATCTGCTGTGTAAGAAATCAAGCTGGTAACTACCATGCGAAATGGGAGAAGTGTGAGTCGACAGAGGCGGCGATGACCTCGCAGCCGATCTTCCGGAAGTCCTCGGCAGCGTCACTGAAAGCGATGATCTCAGTTGGACACACAAAGGTGAAGTCCAGCGGATAGAAGAAAAAGACAACATATTTCCCTGCACCAAAGGAAATGGAAACAAGTAAGGCTTTTGTAAATGTATCACAATACAGTGGTGCTTCTATGATGTATAAATGAAGACACCCGGAAGTTAGCATGTCAAGAGCTCCCTCAACAAAATGCAATGGGATTTTTCCATTGGATTTCAGAATATTGCAAAAATAATGTCTCTGGCAAAGAGACTTTAATGATACTTGCACATTTTGTTGGCAGGATAATGTCCACATGTTATCACCACTTTGTGATTTTTGAAGCGTTAAAAGCTAACGTTCGGCTATAAATGAACTACATCACGACAGCATGACTTTTGGTCACCACCGATAAGCTAAAGGTGGCTAATGTTTGGCATGATGCCTTTAGTAGTTTTATTAAGTCACTTGTTAGCAACCTCTGTTTAAATCAATCAAAGTTTATTTATATAGACCAATATCACACATTTTATATTGTCTCAGGGAGCTTTACAGTTTAAACAAAATGTAATATGATATAAGCTTCTTACATTTACGAGTGAGGTATTTACTGACATATTTTATGCCATAGATCAAAACATAAAATATCTAAAGTTTGTGTTAACTACAGACGGGCCTCTAACCAAAAATACCTTCAAAACCCTAATCTTGAAGACGAGGGAAGTGGAAGAGATAAAATGCTAACTAATTTCCAAGTTTTAGGAGTCATTGCCCTACTACTCTATAAGGTCATTGCACGCTTTTTCATGCTGGTCTTTAGAAGTGTAAATACATGTCTAAATAACAATTGTTGGATCTCAAAGCAAAGTGAATTACAGTCAAAAAGAGAGCTTCATCAAAGCATGTCCTCCACTCTAGCGGTGGAGGAGACACAGGTGGAGGTTTACCTCTGTAGTCGGACAGCTTCAGGTCGTCGAACTGTCCGTCTGGCATCACCGCCTTAGCTGTGAAGTCTGGGGCCAGCTTTCCAATGTGCGCCTTGCCTGCAGCCATCTTCAGTCTAACGGAAGAAGGAAACGTTGATGTATTACACAATCTCTTTTCCAAATGACAGCATTTCAAGAACTCATGCTTGCGTACTGAAATCGTTGTAACCCAAACATTTTAAATTTACATTAAATAACCTAAAGAAATAATCAATTTTAAAATAATGATGTATGTCAAAAAGAG